GTATCTTGAAATCTTCATTTCCACTATCCCATTGCTTTTTAATCTCCCCCTTTCTCCTAAGGATGAGGAGGAATGGGATGGGAGGATGCAGCCTCCCTGCAGTGCCTGTGCTGCTGCCCATGTGTGCCGCGGGCACGGCTGGCGAGGAGGTGACAGGAGCTGTCCCATTCCTGGGCGCTGTGCGGGGGGACATGGTGGGAGAACTTCTCCTGCTGAACCTTGCAGGGGATGGTGCGAGCTGTGTTGGTTGTGCTACTTGGCAGGTGCCTGATTAAGGGCTGGGCTGGACGGGACAGGGCCTGCTGTAAAGGAGCTGCTCCAATGAGAGGAGTTAACTGGAAAGTCATCCTCAGGCTCACAATAACTTAAATTAAGTGTTTATTAGGATAAAACATTGCCAGAAGCTGTTCAGGTGCTTTTTCACTTTGCTTCTGAAAAGGTTTTCTCTCAATTCTGTATGAAATAGTTTCTAAAGACGACGAGAAGATTCCTTTTCAAGTGTTTTACGTTGAGGACTGAGAATTTTTCACTGAAAACTGAGTGGTGTAGACTCACCTACCTCGTGGCTGGTGGTGCAGCACTGGACAAGCAGCTCCCAGGCCAAGCAACCCCTTAGGTGGAAGGTGTCATAAGGGGGGGGCCGTGGCAAAGTGTCAGATGGTTCATGTTATCACATTGCTTTGGCATAGTCCATAGACGAGTAACACTTTCTCTTTTGTATCTGTAAAACAGTTTATCTGGTGTTTGTGCTTGCAATTTATGGACAGAGCTGTGCAGCATAACAGCTGGGAAGGCATTTGCTATTTGTTTGCCATCTGTAAGTTTTATGTGGGTCCCAAATTTTGTAGCATAACGAGAATTTAGTATGAGCTGGCCAGTATTTTCGTTGTGCACAAGGAGCTCAGCCACTGGGCAGTAAGTCAGGGAGCACGGCAATCGCTTCTGTTCCGTGCTGTTACTGATGTTTAGAAACTGGGTCTTCTCAGAGGAATATCTGTGCTTTTTGTGCAGAAGGCTTGAAATAGTTTTGAATATGTGCCTTGTATAATTTCTACAAAATCTTCTCTGCCTGCGAGAAAAATAGGTGCAAGTAGTAATTTCTGTAGGAGTTGCTTAAGTCTTCTGCTTATGTTGGTTCTCTTCCCAGTGAGCAATGAATTACAAATAGCACATCACTGGTGGCCCCAAGATTGCTCCTTCACTTCAGAGGTGAACGGGCTAAGCTTTGAACAGAAGCTTTTTTTTTTCCACAGCTGTAGTGGTAAGGGTTGCTTACAGCTATAATAACTCTTTCATAGATATGTCCCAAGTAAGTCTTCTCCACGAGAAAGCCACTGTGTAGTACAGAGGACTGGTGACGAGCCTGGTGTGCTGATAAAATACAACTCAGCTTTGTTACCTCTGCCAAGTTGGCTCCATGTCTTCTGTCCTGGACTCAACTTCTCCCTTAACCACATTTAGTGTCTTTTAATACCCGGTCCATTTCCAGGAGTGTTTCAAAGAGCACTGAAGCTCCAGCAGGCTTTGGCAAACCAGATTTAATGAAGTATTTCAAAGCCTGGGTTATGCTTGGGGGCCATTGAACTGTCAGTAGGGAAAATCAATAATGGATGGTAGCATGGCTCTGCTGTTATGGTGAGCACAGTCCCACATTGTGAGAGTTGTTTTGAGCCTCTGATTGCTATTTTCACACTCATCTTTTCTACTTTTTGTGTATCTGAAGCATCTCAGAGTGGGGCCTGCTGTTATCATCCAACAGGAGGAATCCCCTCTCCTTATGTATCAGGGGCAGTTATCCAAAGGTGATCTTGCCTTGCAATATGATGCTTTTGGGAAAGATCATGGCTAGGGCTATCCCATGGACCCAAATGGAGCATCCAGCCATGAGTGGTACAGGGGACATCAGGGCAGTGATTGCTTTTTTTTTGTCCCTATAGTGCATCACAGGCACCAAAATCAGCATCTCTTCAAAGAATGATGTTAAGCTTCACTGGTAGTTATTGTTACAGCTGTTGGGACTTTCCTATAAACTTCTTCCCTTTCCTTCCAAGATTTTCTTTACTGCTTGAATCTCAGAGCAAGGGCTTGGTTGTGCGTTTGTTTATTATGTGGCGCTTTTTTTTTTTAATTTTTGTTAGGGTGCTGTGATGGATACTGATGTGTTGTGTGTTTGGTGTTAGGAGTTCAGGGCAGGTGATGCCAAGAGTGCTGATCGTGTGCCGTGCCCTCGTCCACACAGTGAGTTTCCCCGGAGCTGTAACTGGGAGAAGGACAGGGCTCTCGTCTCTGCTGATCTCTTTTCCCAGCAGTGCTGGTGGCCATCTCCTGCCCTTGCTCCTACCTGCTTGACCTCCCCGTTCTACAAGAATGATCTGCTTTGCCACATTCTTCAGCTGTTCCAACCCTTTGCATGAGAAATTACATTCCCTTTCCCTAGTTTTACCAAGTCAAACTAGTTGCATGTGGCTAATGGCCCAAAACAGAGCTCTCTGTGGGCTTAGGAGGGAAGGTGGAATCCTGGAAACATGTACCTGATGGGAATCTCTTTAGTTCTGCCCATGTTTCCTTTTCAGCAGAGCCCTGGTGATAAGAGAAAGTGATGGTAGCAAGGTTTTTAACTTCCCAACCCTCTAGCTACATGCTGTTTTATCCACTAAAAATAGTTGCTAATTCAACCTTCTGGGGAAACCTCAGGCACAGGCTAAAGGATTGCTAATATTAGTTGTTGGCTTTGCTGATAAAATTAGCTATGTGAAAACTGGCTGTGACTGCGGAATTCTTTCTCCTCCTGTGCAGCTCAACATTCAGTTTGCCTCAGCGGTGAGATTGTAAAGGGAGGAGAAGGAGAGAATGCCTTCTTGCTCTTTCTGCATTGCTGTCTTGTTTCCTGAAGAGGCTCAGCAAAGCACGACGTGCTCTCTTGCCCCCCTCCTGTTGTGGGCGCTAGTCTGAAAGCAGAAGTGTCTGGATTAAAACATGTTCAAGCTAAGTGAGGGAGAAATATATATATATATTTTTAATTACTATTATTTACTGTTTTTAAAGTTAGTGGCTTCAGCATAACTCAGTGTTTCTCTAGTTCATGTTTTGAGAAACTGTAGCTTGAGGGCTTTCAGAGGATCTCCTTGTCACCAAAAGCTAGAAAGGCTCAGTCAAAAATTTTAATATCAGAAGAGTCTGAGGAAACGTTTGTGCTCAGTGTGCCCAATTAATTTTTTTTTTTTTTCTTTTTTAAACTTCAGCATAGATGAAGATCTCTGATCCATATTAATTTGGGAGAAGTAATTTTTCCTTTTTAGAATTCTGGTTTTATTGAAACACCCAGTGCATGTTTGACATCTGGTTTAATTTTAGAAAATAGTCCTGGGAGAAACTTTGTCAACAGGGAGAATTGCTGGAGTTATGACAGACAGTGCATAACACTGGGATGTGCTACAGGCTTAAAAAAGGTCTTTCTGAGTGTGTGCATCTGCTTTGCTGGAGGTCAGAAAATTTGATTTTTATTGATATCCGTACCAGGAAAATGGAGAGGTGCCCAGAAATGTGCTTGAGGTTAGGGGGAAATCCAGATTTAACACAAGTTTTTATATTTATTGTAGCTATAAAAAAGGTAGTCGGTAAAGCCTATTGCTAAAGCAGTCAACCTCAAATCATGAAACTAGAAGATCACAGGCTTATGCCATGCTGTGTCCTGGTTCTTGGTCATGTTTGATTCCTCCGTGATGCTGTTTTCAGTCGTGTTTAAGTGTATGCCTGCCTTTGAGTAGCTACTGAACTGTGTCCCTGGAGTAGGCAGTTAGCCTTCACTTGTTTGGCAGAGCAGAAGTAGCCGTGAAGGGGGAGACTTGGCACGTTCTAGTGTTCACCTGCATTTTGTAACATGGAATTTTTCAAATATATGGTGGGGGTTTTTACTCTTATTATTTCCCGGTCCTCATCTCTTAAAGGAAGGGAATAAATAATTAGTTTTGGTATTTGTTTAAGCAGAGAAAGGAACTAAGAAGTTCCTAGTCTCTTGTTCAGTTGTAGAGAGCAAGCCAACATCTTTTTCAAGGCACGGAGCTGCTGGGATGCGCGATGCCAGGGACTCTCCCATCCTGTCTTATCACAGTCATCAACCATCCTGTTGACTGTATTATTGTTTCTGGCTTTCTTCAAAGCCTGTATGACTACCTTATCAATTCTGAGAAAAGCAGGAAGCCTTAGCTATGCAATAGGATGGTGTAATTGTAAAATCTGTAGTGTGTCTTACTTCTTCCATGAGCCACAGCATCTCTAAGAAAACTACTGGAAGATGTGCTTAAAATATCAGCTGTTCCACAGAACTTGAGTGCTCTTTATTGCCCCTTCCTACAAGCTTCTCTCCTCGTGTGACTTCAGAAGGGGCAAAATTAAGGCAGCAGGTGATGTCTGAATTGAACAGCATTACAGTTTTGCTTGTAATTTATAAGTCTTTGAGAGTTAATTGTCATACGACTCATAGACAGTAGTTTCATGATTTCTTAATCTGTTATGTACACTAATTTTCTGTTGGCTAACTGCTGAAGGGAGACATTTGTTTCTGCAGGGCATTATCTGTGTCTGAACCACAAAGCACATGGTTAACAGAGTCCGTAATTATAGAGATGCGTGGGCTTGCTGTATTAATCGCCATTTAGAAATGTGGATCTCTCATCTTGACTTTCAAACTGAAAATACAGCCATAGGTTAATCCTCTCTGCCTGCTCAGGTTCCACCTCTGCAGGCAGAGTGGCACCAAGCATGTGTTCTGCTTTTCAATGTTTCTCTGTTTGTGTTGTTCTCAGTTATGCTTTGAATATTTTCAGTAGTTAAATGGTGGGGGAATTTCTTTACCAACAAAGTCATTTGGTCTAAATCACATCCTTGCAAAAGAACAGAGCACACATTCAGTGCCTCGAATCTCTCTCGTTCCATTGCTTTTCTCCTTTTGAAGACAATACAGAGTTTTCCTTATTCACTGTTTGTCTCTTCCCTCGCAGCATCAGCGAAAGCTTCCTCACTGTGAAAGGTGCAGCTCTCTTCCTGCCACGAGGAAATGGGTCGTCTACTCCCAGGATCAGTCACAGGCGCAACAAGCATGCAGGTAATGTGTTGCATCCAACTGCTGAGGCTTGTCTGCTCACTCCTGTTTCCAAGTTGCCTTTCTTGGGTTTGTTCTTACCAGATGACACACATTTCTTTTCACAGCAGGTGTGTATTAAAGCTAGACCTGCCAGTCTCAAGACTGCAATATTTAATGCTGGTAGAAAAAAAAAGGTTTCAGTACTCTCTTGCTTATCCTGCAAAATCAAATAAATGAGTGACATCAGGGCAACAATCACGACATCACAGAGAACTAAGAAAAACTGCCCCCTACAATATCATCCTGTAATTTTTGTATGAGAGAGGGGCTGGAGAATTGCCATCAAAACCTTCATGCACTGCGCTTGGAAACTTGAGGTTATGATATGGGCTGAGTGATTGTTCTTTCTGATCTGAAAGTAGCCGGTTGTGATGGAGGAGAGGGAGGAGACTTACCTCTACGTAGAAGTGAAGAAACCTCTGAGCAAAGTCAGTGTGACTTTGCACATGTGTGAGCAGAGTGAATAATACGAAGTCAGTCATAATTCCACACCCTGTATCTGATGAAAGCTTGATTTGTGTTTTTGCTTTGACTCTTTGTTTGAAAAGTCAGTCTGAATAATGAAACTCAAACATTTCAGGGTAGGTTGTTTTTCATTACGTGTATGGTGCTTATTCATTGATGATGTTTTACAGGGATCAGATAGTATGGGGTTTTTCCCTTCCATTAAACAATCAGCAGGAAAAAACAACATTGAGACCTTCAGACTTTTTCATATTGGACAGAGACAGAAACAGAGAGTCTAGAGTCAACATTCTTTGCCAAAAAGTGACCACCCAAATGGTGATTTGATTTAGTGCCAGATGTAGATTTCTTTGTACTTTGATACCATCAGACTGTCATCCAGCTCTACATCTGGCAGACTGGTCCACCTCAAAAATCTGCTTGCAAACATCATTATAGAAAGACTTTAAGTCAAAAGACAATTACATACTTCCCTTCAGACCTAGTACAAGCAGTAACCAAATTGGTTTGAGTGAGATGCATTAATTACCAGTTGTCAAAAGAAAATAAATTGTTCTGAAACTTAATTCAAAGCTGGCCTTTCTGCTTGAAACTGAAGTGAAATCCTGTTCAGCATGCAAGTAGCAGTCTTTTAAAAGTTTATCTTGACCTGTCTTGGTTCTTAACCTCTCCAAAGTCCTCTGCATAATAGAAGCCCAGGTCAGTTGCAGTCTTGGCTTTACCTCCAGAGGAGACCAGCTGCATGGTTTTCCTTGTGAACCTGTGCAAGGCAGCACAAACAGCTTTTGAGTCTCTCTTGTTGCCTCATCTACTTGCTACAGCTGACTTGCATGAGATCTGGAGACGCTGGTGGAAAATAGTCATTCGTCTAATCAGCCCAGAGCTTTTAGAAGCCAGCTTGCCAAGAAAGCAAATCTGGTGTGTTATAATTGCTTACAGCAAGATGTTTTGTATTGAAGAGGCTGGCTTTCCAAAGGGGTGGGATTTTAGTTCTTAGAAGACTTTATTCCTGTCTCTTCAACTTACGGGGTAAGATTTAATGAGGCATCAGTCCTTGTCCTTTCCTCAGTTTCCCTGCTTGTCAAGTGATGTGAATGCTGTAGTATTTTTTTTATGGTGCTTGGAGATTTCACTGGAAGGAGACCTTTGTGTGAGTGTGTACCATATTTCTTTTCTGTGAACTTTTCTAACGTACAGTATATGCCAGCAGACCAGGACTCTCAGGAAGGTGACACCACTGATTCCCTTAGTAAAACATCTGTGCCACCAAAATTAAAACAGTGATGTAGAGAGGGTGGCTCTGAGAGGCAAACTAGCCATTGGCGGTGAGCTGGCAGAGTGTGTGGCAAAGAAAACTGTCTCCTTTCTTGGACTCTGATAATCCATGCTCAACTTTCATTCCTCTGTGTGTCATGACTTATCTCTGGCACACAAAATTAGAAGGGGGGTGGAGAGCAGACATAACTTTACAGAATGAAATTGCTGCCTATGGATGCAGTAGTATTCCAGGTGGCTACAAGAACATTTGCTAGGAGGGTTGACTAACCTTCCTGACCTGCCTTTCTAATTCATCAGAGGTGCTGGAATCCAGCATAAAGAGTAAATGCGTAACGGGAAATAATTAATGCTCACACCCATTTCTTTAATGGTATCATCTCAAGCAATGGAAGTCCCTAGCTGGCAGATTGACCAGATACGGTACCAGCTGTCCGTGCTCCTCTCCCTGGGGGGGCCTGCTCCCCGTGCCACCCAGCAAACGGCTGTGTTCTGTAGGCTGGTGGGCTTGCTTTTGCACTCCAACACCACTGGAGGAGGCCGGAAAAGGATGTAACTTCCCTGGGGCTTCTGCCATCTCTGGGATACTGTAAATCACAGTTTAAGATCCCACCCAAGCTGATGCTTTGCACCTAGCCTGCCAGCTCAAATGAAACAAAAGTGTCTGCTCCTTGCTGGACAATGTGATAGGAAGCAGCAGTCATGCCATGAATGCCAGCAAAGCAACAGCTCTTCACAGGGCAGGATGTGATATCTTTGTGCTGATTCTGGCATGTTAAAATCTTTCCTTTACTTTTTCTTAATCCAGGAAGCTTACAAAATGCCTGTGGGTTCAGGGCTGAAAATGCTGCAAGGCTATTAAAGCTGGACAAGGAAGCAAAGCTTTACTTTCTAGCTGTGGAGCTCCCAAGGCTGTCAGGGCAGGCTGGGGAACGGAGGAGAGCAATAAACTTTCTGAGAATGAGAGATAATGGAGCTCCTTGACTGAGCCTTGCAGAAAGGGTTCTCTTAGAAACTTCCTCTCTATTTTTAAGTATTGAGATAATCCAGTAGTCCTGGTGATGTTTTTTAAGCTTTGGAAACTTCAGCTCTTAAACTGGTTCCTGATGGTGAATTACTGGCAGCAGTAGGTGGGAACTGTTACGTTTTGGAGAGGGAGAAACTGAGGTGAAGTATCTTTAATTTCTAGCTGCCTAAGACATGTGAACGCCTCATGAGTCAAATACTTGCTGGGCTCTTCCAGGCTGCAGGCAGAAGATGCCACGTGAAGCAGAGGGACCTTTGCCAGTTGAGTCAACAGTTCTTGATGATTCCCACCACACTAGGAGCTGAAACTTGGTGGAAGTGAGCAGCATTGTCAGGATTTGGCACTGGTGTTGACGTGGGGAAATCCTGTCTCCCACTGCACCCCTGGGAGGACAAGCATCCGATGGATGAGCTGGCCTTTCCTGTGTTACCCATCTCCCTAAATAATTGCTTTTTAGGGGGAGGTATGTGCCAGCCACTCCAGTGCTGGGAACAATGTCCTTGGTCAGGAAGTACCTTCAGGTGCCTGTGAGCACTGATACTTTGTATGTGACTTCCCCAGCACTGTAGAGTGCCTCAGTTTTTCCCACCCCCAGTTAAAAATGCAGTCCCAGGGCATTGACTCATTCTCCATCTGGTGAAATGAGTTTCGAGGAGGAAGGAAGAGGAGAGCAGGGGATGCCATGTCCTGCATAGCCCACTCCACACAAGCTTGCCTCTGTCCTATCAAGAGAGAAGCTGCAGCAGCCCTTCAGCCCTGCTGTTCCACCAGCTATAAAAATAATTTGAAAACTAGGTACCATGCTTTCACTGGGCAGTATTTCCTTTCTTCCCTTTTCTTTTTGTGGCAATTCTGGATGCTGCTTCACATCTGAGGTTTCCTTATTTCTGAAAGTCTGTGCGATAGCATGGATTCTAGCACCACTAGTGAATTAGAAAGGGAGATAAGGAAGATTAGTCAACCTTCCCAGAAAATACTCTCATAGCCACTTGTGCTGAATATTTGCTCCAACATTCGTGCTCTTCCCTGCTGTGTTGCCTAATCTCAGCTTTCTGTCTGGGTGGGAGAGGGTGGAAGAGGAAAGGCTCCTCTTTTTGCCATTCTGTGCCACCCACCTGGCAGCCTTGCACTCTTCTTTCTGGGAATGCAGATTAATTCTCCAGGTAACGCTTGAAAAAACAGCCCCTTGCTGGTGGTGTTATTGCTTACTGACATTCATAAGGTAATGTGCTTGCTTAGCAAGGAAACTCTTGGCTCTATGGGCCAGGGAGTAGTGCTGAGGAGTCAGTGCAGTGGTACCAGCAGAAACATATCTCACTTGTCTTTACGGTGCTTGATGCTTTAAGAACCTGGGACACTCAGCTCTTTTCAAGAAGTCTTTAAAGTTACTGTGTGGCTCTGATTTTTTTTTTTTTTTTTTTCCTTTTGGTTTTCCTCAGCCTTACCAGTGAAAGTGTAGGAAGCATTTTCTAGAAAAAACTGCAGGTGTTTGGTTTTTCGGGTGGCAATTCTTACCCACTTTTGGGTGGGGTTGATACATAAGCATATGTGGGCATGTGTTACTCTAAGATGGGAGTAAAACTCACTTCAGAGGGGACACCTTTGTCTAGATAGTAGTTCTGCACTAATTAAGAGAAGTGGCAGATTCCTGCTTTGAAGCACGTGAGATTGTGAACCATGGAGTGGGGTCCATTTCTACCTAGTTTGCCTTGTCTTTTAATGGAACAAAGTACTGAAACTGTTTGTTTTAAAAAGATAACAGGATTTAGCAGGAGAGAGCCTGGTAAGACAGGAACAGGTGAGCACACAGAGCAAAGAGCAGCTGACTAAGAGATGGAGTTTTGTCATGTCTGAGTAGGTGGAAGTGACAACGCTCATGGTGATGTGTCAGGTTTCTTGGTGGATATTTGCTCTGGCTGGATAGCCAGAAACTTGCACCTGATTTAAAACTATTTTTGCGCATTTACCTTTCCCTCTTGCCTGCAGGGGATCTCCAGCAACACCTGCAGGCCATGTTCATCCTGCTCCGCCCGGAAGACAACATCAGACTGGTAGGTTGGCTTTTTGCTTATCTGCTGTTAACAAATATAAAGGTTAAGTTCCACTTGACAAATAGACCTGTGTAATTCATGAAAGCGGTGGTGTGTGTATGTGTGAGCGGTTTCATCGGCAGGTCTGGGGAGTCGTCTTTGCAACCACAATGGTAGAAAAACAGTTAATTATGAAAGGCCTGCTTATTTAGTTGTTCAGTGAGACAAATGAATGGCTAGAAGACAGCCTTTGTCTGAACCAAATACTGAGTACTTATTCTCTCAAAAAGTACGGTAATAATTGCCAGAGAAGCTGGGTAAATTTGCTTGGTGTCCTATTTAAATCAAGCGTAGGTGACTTATGTCCGACCAGCGCGAACACCTGCCCTTTCACATTCAGTTGTGTTCCTCACTCTCCTAACTTGTTGCATCCCAAAAAGCCATGGCTTATCGGGAAGGAGCATGTAGGATCCCCATGTAACTATGCACCTATATTGAACCTTGCCTATCTGCTTTTCTCAGTTGATGCCTCCTATAATAATGTAATGAAAATTAGGCATTGCTGTTTGTAGCATTAATATGCCGTCCTGAAGACCTCCAGAAGCCAAAGAAGAGCAGTGAGGAATTGGTTGAGGACATGTTGAAGTGCTCTGCAAGGTCAGGCGTGACTGCAGTGTATCTGTATCTCATCACTCAGTAGCCTAAAGTTTCTTTTCTGTGTTGTCTTGGTGCATCTTAGCAACGTATGCCCAAAGTAGGACTGCCAGCATCAGAAGTGTTATTCTGGCACCTCTGGTTTGCTGAATTCTCCTGAGCTGTGCTGGAGCTAGACTGATTGTATAACTAGGAAACAGCAAAGATTACTATGGAATGCTTTAACTTTAAAAATGACCACGAAAAATAATTTGCCATAAGCAATCTTTGTAAGCAGACTAAAGAATCTGCTCCTAAACTTTGTCAGGCTCACCTTGCTGTCACTAAAATTTCAGTGAAAGTGATGGGAATGGGGGTTCTCGGTGCTTTTCCAAATCTGAGCCAGGGTTAGAACATTGGAAGCTATTGAACAAGTCATTGTTCAGCAATATCACTAGCTACATTGTGTGATTTGGGACAAATTAGCCTTAACAGCTGAATAAGGACTTTGTGGGCTGAGACATAAACCCTTTTGTTTGGAGCTACATTTGGAATGCTGAAATCTTGCATGAGGTTAAGTTCGATAGTCTACTTGAATTTAATTGATTCTTGATGAACGAAGAGTGTGCAGAGCTGCAATAGACTCTCTCATAAAATAGTAGATACAAATGAGATTTGAAATACAAACAGTACTGAGAGAAATGCATTCTCTTCTTGTGTTGGCTGCTGTCATTCAGAGGGCAGACTTCACAGCTCAGAGGGCAGCAGAGGAATCTAATCCTCTATAAACCTACACTTAAAATTTCAAACAACTCTTGTTTCTGTTGGAGCTATTGGCAGAGTTTTTTAGCCTTCCATGAGAACAGGATTAGAGTGATGGTACCAGTGTGAGATCAGCAGGAAGGAGGAAAATGAATTAAGAGTACAAACTGATTGAACGTATTCCTGTAGTTTAGCAGGGAGGAGACTTGTTCACTTACATGTGTTCAATAATAAAAGAAGACTTCAGAATATTGGTGCGTTTTTTGTCTTCAAACATCCCAATGAAAAATATGTTCTTGTATGGAATACCTACTATCATGTGGCATGAAAAAGATTAAAGGTCAGTATGAACTTACCTCTTGGAACATGCGGTTCATAAGGGCTGGTAAAATACCACATCATACTTCTGATGAAACAAGAATGCAGCAGAAGATAAAGTTGGCTTGTGTTTAGGTGACCATAAAACTAAAGAAAACATTGCTGGCCTTGAAAGGACTACAGGCTTGTCCATGAACAGACTATAAATAACCTTCCCAAATTGAGGAGAAAGGTAGCTCTATGTAGATGAGCTGTTGAGAAGAAACTTTCCATCTTAATCACAGTCCCTGAAGCTAGGCCATCCTCCCTTGACTGACTGAGATTTCAACTATCTTCCTTTAAAAGGCATCAGACCACTTGGGGTGCTTCTGCTGTCAGGTGAGCATACGAACGAGTGCTTAATGAAAAGGTTAGAGACTAATTTGTGATTTGATGGGCATGTTGGAGCTCTAATAGTAACCTTTGAGGTTGGCTGGTTTACAATGTCAGGTTTGCTGTTTTCTTACTCTAGTAAATTTAGCAAAACACATTATCTGCCCAAATCATGGTTCTTCGTTTTGTGGTAAGGGTGTTAGTGTTGAATCTAGAGAGCCACAGTAAGCCATGACCTTTTTTCTCTTAATTGGCCCCCTGAAAATCCACACCACTGACTTGAAGCTACGTGACCTTTGGTCACTGCTTGTCTAGCCCTGTTCTAAATGGTCTTGCATTAAGACCACACTTCTCATTACTGCTAGCCAAATTGGTTTAGCAAAGTAAGTTAGATTATGTTAATCCTCTTGCTGCTGGACTGTCCTCAAGAGGTGCAAAACAGAACTCGTGTGTGGATGCCCTGGACACAGGGCAGCGGTTGTCTGCCTGCTCCCATCTTAGGCAAGTGTATGTTTCTGTTTGAGGTTTGATTCCTAATGTAGATAATGACTTTAACCACCAAGACCTTGGGTGATTGCTTGCTCTTCTAGGTTGAAGAGCACCCCTTCTGTTTTGCTACAAGTGGTTAGTTGTAGAAACAGTGTCTTTGGCAGAATTCATACCTTGAAGGACTGACCACCTTGATCCTCCGTGTTTGCAAAGGAATCCCAGTGACTCGAGGAGCAAGAAAGAAGGAAAATAAGGCTGGTTTTAGCATGACTTATCCTAAAGAGATGGGGTGGGGCACAGCCTCTCTGCTGTACAGAGCACGTCTGCTGGCATCAGCATTTGGGTAGTTTCTGTTAGTCTTCAGTCCCATTGGACGAGTCTAGAAGACACAGTCAACACAATCTCCTGCCTGCTCTTGCTATTCCGCCTCCATCACTAGAGCTGCTGCTCCCTGCATCGCCACTGGGAAGCTTTCCCTGCCACTCTCAGCGTAGTCTCCTGCGATAGAGCACTCCAGTGAAATAGCAAGCTTTGTTTTAGCTGCTGTGCGCTGTTTCAGCCTTTGTTGTAGACTCTGCCACATCTTGTGGCCGAGACTTACTGGCTAGTGGACAGGTAAGTTGTGAGAAGGTCGGAGAGGGCTTCCTCTAAGCTAGGAGGTGCCATTCTGGCTTCAAGACCAAGTCAGAAAGAACTAAGGAGTGTATGGGGAAGAGCAGCCTGATCCTGAGAGATCCTACACAGCAGTTATTATGTGAGCTATTTTTTTTGTAAGGATAAAATAACTGTTTAAACTGAGTTCTCTAAGCCATGAACTCCCGTGGGCCACCAAGAAGTGTCTGCACAAGCAGTGGCTCGGGGGGGCTGCTGGTGTTTGAGGAATTCAGGTTCAACTTGCAAAGAGTATCAGACACCTCTTCGAGCTTCAACTGTTGGGCCATGAGGGATTTGGCAACCAGGTCCCATTGCAGCAGGCAGATGTCTGTCTGCAGCATGGGGCAAGGCTGGGCTGTGAGAGCTCCTTCTTGCCTGTGTTTGCTCTCTGTAGGCCCTGCTCAAAGTTCAAGAAGCAATTTAACAATAAGGTAAACACTGAAGCCAGACAGTGTCTTGGGGTTGGATTAGGCCGTTCAAAGTTAAGATTCAGTATACATAATTAAGACACTTCCTTTCTAGGGATGTCCTAGTTTCTCTAGTTGGGATCCTGTGACTAAAATAACTGCAAATGGCTTGGAACAGAGTCCAAAAAATGTTGCAAGTAAAGGCTGCCTACTGCAGATGTTTATAAGCAAAACCTAAAACGCTGGGCTTCGCTCCCAGGTCTCTTCGCTAACCAGCATCTATGAGAAGGCTCGCTGGAGTCACTTCAGTTCTGGCTTCCTTGTGGCTTCTGGAAGAGCATTACTCTTCAGTGTAGCCTTTCAGGAACTTCAGTGTTGGTCTGACGCTCACAACTTAGCTGCACGGCTGCTTTCTGAATGCTGTCAGTAGTATTTGATGTGGGGGAGTTTGGGGTGAAATTCAGGCATCCTCCAGTCCTGCTAGATCTCTCTTTTGGCACTGGGGTGCACGTGGTTGTGGTAGGAGCATTGAAGCACAACAACTTTCACCTCTTCTGAGCAATTTGAATCCAGCCATGGGTACACCTTAATAATAGAGAAATCTTCTCCTGCCAGCTATAAGGCAGTAGGGTTGCTTCTGCATTGAGGAGGTTGCTAGAAAAATTCAAAGGACCAGCAGGAAACCACATACAAATTAGATCCTAGTTGTCCAGCTGTCTGGGAAGTTGGTGGAAAGAGTCGCGTAGCATACAGTAGTTGAAAGGAAAGCTCTGTCTCTTTGGACAAAGGCCTCAGAGATGAAGAACACGTTCAACACCTGTCTGTCTCGCTGAACTCATAATGCTCCGTGAAGCTCACTAGGCTGGGACCAGTCGGAGGACTGTGGCAGCCAGCCTTGTAGGCTGCTGTTTAAATGCAGCCTTGGTGGGACAGAGCAGGCCTGCACGCAGCAAGGTGTGCAGAAGGCACCAGGAACACCCCAGCTGTTGAGGAAAGCACTGTGTAGAGAAGTAAGTTGCTTCTCCCTCTTCTGCTGGTTACCCAGCTGTGAAGTACAGGCCATCCGTACTAGTGCAAACTGCATCACTGCTTCTGCGCCTGTCACTTAGCATGAAAAAGTGGCTTGTAAAGGCAATAGTGTGTGTTTCGCTGGCTGCACTGCTGAACTCTCCCCTTCCTTTCTTTAGGCTGTAAGACTGGAAAGTACCTACCAGAACCGCACCAGATACATGGTGGTAGTGTCCACCAACGGCAGACAAGACACCGAAGAGAGCATTGTCCTGGGAATGGATTTCTCTTCCAATGACAGGTACTCACAGTGTCCAGGTGGGGGAAGTCCTTGTGTTCACCCACATGTCAAGTGCAGAAACCACTGTCTTGTGTCCATGCTTTCTGGGGATAGACAGCTTCAGATTTTCCAGCCTAACACCTTTCTTGAGATCCAGAATTCCCCTTTTATTTCTTGAAACAAGGTGACAGATGGGAAGGAAACAGCACAGGTCAGCATTTCTTCCATTTGTCCAAGCTTCAGGGCTGTGTGAGGACATTAAGTGCCCTTAAGTGTCTCTGAACAGTGAGGTCCCTAAGCCCTGCATCTGCACACCAGGGACAGGGACAACTCACATGCAAAAAAAAAAAGGAAAAGCTACAATTAGAGAAGCTGGACATCAAGGTTCAGGAGAGCAACTAATAGGAAAGTGACTGTCAGGCAGCCCCTTGCCGAGGTCATGGCTCAGAAGGCCTGTTGGGAATGTTAGGGTTGCTGATGGCAGATCTTACTCAATGTGTGCTCTCCCCAGACATCAGTATGTCATCAGGGTTTAGTGCTTTTGCTTCACTCATTTAAACTGCTGCTGACCTCTCCAAAAGGCTGCAGAATGTGGCTGGGAAGCAGCTTTTGCTGCTGGAGTGACTGTAAGTCAGGAGGCAGCACCCCCCCAGCAGCTTCATGGACAGAAGCTTCAGGTTTAGAAAGGAACACCAGGCACTTTGGAGAGGGCACGGAGGCACATGCCTCTTAAAGGGTAAGTCAGTCTTGGTCTATGCAGAGAAAGAAAAGCTTGGATATTCAAACTGTTTTGGAAGTTTTCATACACAGCTGCTACAGGAATGAGTCTGTAACTTTCAGGAAGTTAGGAGGGTCACTAGAAAATCTTTTTTAATTGTTTGGCTACAAAACGGCCTTCCAGACAGCCTGCTGATCACAACAGCCTTCATTTCAAGTGGCTTGATTTGGAAGCTTAGCTCAAGTGATGCCTGCTAAAAAGGGAGAGGAGCCTGATGTTGCCCTGGCCCCTGGCTCCCTTCCTGTGCACATGTGCACAGCTGTAGCTCAGAGATGCTTTTGCGATAACGTAAGAATAACTTGTCCTTGCACAGGTTGCTGTGAGCTTGGAGCTTGCTATTGGCTGTGATATACCAGCACAGCCACCTTTGATAACTTGAGAGCTCACTGGTATTCAGTCTCTAATAACGTAGCAGGGTCACTTTAGCTTTCTGCCAGAGTTACTTAGGTTCTGGATGGTCAGTCTAATACACCCTCCCCTAGTCCACTTGGTATTTATAACTCAATGTAGACTTGTTGCTATGGTCTCTGATAAGCGCTTGCTGAACACTATCACTAAAAATACCCTGGCCACCTTGGGAAGCCTTTTAAAAACACATCTTTCCATGAGCTCATCTCGTTGTCAACAGAAATAGCTGCGTGCCGCAGTGTCTCCTTGTGCTGGGCACCAGTCGCTTCGAGGCGTGTGCGTTTACAGGGCTTCGTGTCTGCTGACCCTCTGAAGCCTCGAGTCTCACACTCTTCCCCCACTTCTCATGAGCTGCAGCGACTGACGGAGGTGTTAGGGCTTGTGGAAATTTGAGAGCAGCTAGTGCAAAGCCTAAGAGCAGGAGGCAATTGAATCCAATCCTTCATTAAGATGCTGATTTGATTATGGACCAATTTTACAGCTTTGTGAGATTCAGCTTTTTTGTTTGACATCATGGTGCAGGTTGTGTTGGGGTTCCTCCACCCCTTCCTTTTTTCCATCACTTGACTTCTGCTTTTAACTTGTTTTTTTGCTCAGCCTTACAGAAAGCAGGTGACTGTGAGGGCAAAGAGGTCAAAGCAGCTGAGAGAGGAGTGGGATTGCCAAGAGGTGTCTGTCTCTGCTGGCTGTTGCACTCATCCTCGAGGTGTGGGAGGGCAAAGAAGGGGCAGGAGTCAGCAGCGAGTGATAGGCTGTGATTGCTAACCTACCGTGCTGCCAGTCACCCTGCTATTACAGTATACTGATCCCACGTCCCAGCAGCTGAGGCTGAGGGACAAACAGGAAAACAAAGCTGTGGATTGCAAAATCAGAGTTAAAACCAAACCGCTTGAGCTTGAGAGGGACTAATCTGTAAAGAAAGGCTTGAGCTGACTGAAGACTGTGAGCTCCCTCTGAACTTCGGCACAAAGCTTGCTGCTTCTGAATCCTGTTTGCTCTTCTCCTGGGTGTATGTTAACCCTTTAAGCTTGCTTGAAATAGTACAGCTGTACCCTTTATCTGGTTAATGATCCTTGCCAGGCACCAGTGTTGTAGAACAGCATGGGCACTGTTTGTCCCTGAAGCAATAGTGGGATTTTTTCATTTTCTTTCTTATGATACGCAGCCATTGCTGTGAAATTAGAATAATAGCGTGGTGCTGTAGGAGATGGGCTGACCTTCTCTTTCTTACTACAGTAGCACTTGTACAATGGGCTTGGTGCTGCCACTGTGGAGTGACACCTTGATCCACCTGGATGGGGATGGGTAAGTGTCTTTTGTATGTCCTAGGTCAGTAGCAGAGGGTCTTTGTGTGTGAGCTTACAGCACAGTGTATGGGGAAGAACTCGAACAGGTCCAGCAGATCTCCTGCTGTCGGCCTGCATTGGGTTAGTAGCTCAAAGGCCCTAAATCACAGGGGTTGTGGCAGGGAACACCAATAATTGACTTATCTGTGAATAAACACGCACCGAGACAGTGGATTATGTGTGTGTTTAAGCTGGAGTAAATGAGCTTTTACTGGTGAGTGGGTGTGTAGTGAAAGCTCCTTAAAGGGATCCTATTATGTGTTCCTCCATCACACTTGCAGCAGGCAGCGTTCAACTGAACGTAAAATAAGAGTGATGTTTCTCTGCCAAATAGACACCTGACTTGCAGACTCCTGTTTGTGCCAGTTACAAAGGCTGTCCAGCGCAGTGCGTGGAATGACTTTTCTTTCCTTGGTAGCTGCCCCAGGATCACTTTAGCTGGACTCTGTTGCTCCCAGCTGTGGCACTGAATTTGTGTTGCCAAGGTAAACAGCACAGCCCAGCACTGTCCCACTGTCTTAGTTTCGTTCCCAAACAGCAGCTGCTTAAAAAAGTTATCTTAGAGCTTTTAGCGTGCTATTTTGTTCTGTTTGCTAGCTGAACTCTGCAGTGTATGCATAGGGCTAGTCCTTTGCTGTTCTAATGTGCTACAAACTTTCAGTTATTAACTAGAAAGTGGCTTTTTGGACACATTTTTACTGTGCCTTTTTTCCTTTCTCCAGAGGGTTTAGCGTATCGACAGATAACAGGGTTCATATATTCAAGCCAGTGTCTGTACAGGCAATGTGGTAAGTACTTACTATAATCTGTCCCAGTGATCCTTTTTCCAAGGTATTTTGGCTGCTCGAGCTTTTAAAAAGCAGGTGCTGCTTTGCATTATTGGTATCTTGAGACCTACTCAAGCAGCCAGAAGTCTCCTTCAGAGACAGGGAAGGAAGTTTGATACCAGAGTAAAAAAAACATGTAAGTGCTGATGTACAGCAGTGAGTTTATAATATTACTGCAGCCACACCTTCGTCTCAGCTGGGGGCAGGAAAGAATAGGGTAATTTTCCTTGCAAAGGGCTGCTGCTTTGAATCTCTCCAAAGCAGAATTGCTTTGAGCATGTGTTTGAAATACCTTTTTGGTTGTTTTTTTTTTTTTTTTTTTTGTCATGAATAAGGAAATACACGCTGTGTATATTTTAGGAGTCTCTGTCTCCAGTGAGATATGTTCATTGTGATAGCAAGAAGGAAAGAGAAGCTGCCTGCATTTTTTTCTCCTTTTAGGGTGGCTCGTGTAAGAATGTAGTGGCCATGAAAGTATTTCTGGCTCAAGCTTCTTTGCATTGCAGAAATACATCGCCTGTCAGGATGTCATGCTACTGTGTCACCCCAGTGATTTTGACCTGGATCCTTCTGATCCCAGTCAAAGATTTAAAACAAGCTAAAAATAGGAGAGTGAGGATTTGTTCCCCAACAGCAGCTGAAGAAACTTCTGACATCCCTCGTGCAATGAAAGAGGGCAGACACCTAAACACCTCAGTAAAGTCAAACCCTGAGCCCTTGGTTGTGCAGCTCTCGTGTCCCTGCCTTGCACACAGGGGAGCTGAGGGCACAGCAGGAGCTGTCAGAACACCCTGTCTTGGACACAAACTCTGTGCATCTTATTTGTGGCTTAGGTAGTTGTAGCAGTTTTTGGAGCCAGACACACACATGCTTTTGCGTCTGAATTGTGGGCACCTTTGCTGCTATCCAGGCTTGTCTTGGCATACTTCAGTTGACATTTAAGCTCTTGCAGTGTGTGGTTATCCAGACCCTCGCAGGACAGCCTTCTGCTTGGTGCTGGGGGCTGTTGCATATAGCACCAGCGTTTGTACTGACTGATGAGATGTGAGCACTGTCCTGGATTTGGCTGCTGCTTTGTGCTCAATACCAGTCTGAGGAAGAAATTATAATCCTGCAAGTATTTCTCCCTTTCTAGGTCTGCCCTGCAGAGTTTACATAAGGCTTGTGAAGTGGCACGGAGCAACAATTACTACCCAGGGAGCCTCTTCCTCACGTGGGTCAGTTACTATGAGAGCCATATCAACTCCGACCAGTCGTCAGTCAATGAGTGGAATGCCATGCAAGATGTCCAGTCCCACCGGCCCGACTCGCCTGCCCTCTTCACAGATGTGTAAGTTTGTCTGGCTCTGCTGAGCCAAAGTGTTTGGCTGTCAAGCACTACAGTCTCCAAATGAGGACACAGTTTCCACTAGAGATTACTCTTAATTAGGTATTAATGAGGAGAGGTTTCCTGTTCCAGGTAATAAGCGGACCCCTGGTTAGGTAAGCACCAGCACTGGAAGTTTAGCCCTCCTGGGGCTCCTTTGCATCTCCTCCAGCATGTTTTCAGTCCAGTTGTTTACCTTGGGCTTTAGGCCCACAGATCTTTGCTTCTGAAAGGTAAATCCTGTGTTACTAGTGAGAGAGAGGTGTGGTGTATTCTAGTACCTAGGCTTTTCTCTTGCCTGGTTTTGTCCTCTCATTTCCAGGCTTGGTGTCTCCTGGAACGAACAGGTTTCTCTGGACTTTGCTCTTAAGCTGGCGTGTGTCTGAGCACATATTTAGAGTAGCATGGTCTTTTTTTCCTTACTCAGTTAATTTTGCTGTAAAGTGAAGTGTTTATGTATCCTCTTTTGAGACTCTGAGCTCAGAAGCATCCTCATAGGCACCCACTGATACACCTAAGAATGGGGACAAAGAGCAGTGCAGCTTTTCATCATTCTGAGGAGCTCTGCAAGTATGGAACAGGACAGTATGTAGGTCCCAAGCTAAGTGCTTGGATGTCTGGAGATATATGGTCCAAAACAGTGGCTGAGGTAGGTAGACAGTTTGGAAGGGCAAAATATACAGGCTGTATCAACATTCAAGGTTTATGACGCCTGTAATTAGTAATTGCTGATGGTACTGATACCGTATAACCTCAAAGGTAGTCTGTGTCCAGATGTGATGCCAAGTGTGAGGGCTTAGCTGCCCAGTTTGTAGTAATAGAAATGACTTCACTAGCCCCAGCTGCTTTCCCAGTATAATAGTGCCATTCGTTGATTTATGCTTTCAGATATTTCCTGTTGTTGGAGTTCAGTGAATGGATAATAATGCTAAGCAGTCGTTCGGCTGTGAACAAGTCTTCACACTTGATTGTTTTTTAATGTTCAAGGAGTGTGGCTGAAAAGTTTTGGCAGGCTGTCAGATTAATATTCTTTTGTAGCTTTTCATGTGTAAGTTTTATGTAACGCACCCTTTCCCTGGTGGCAGCAACTGAATGATTTCCTGTGGACACCTAGACAGTGTTCTCTTAATTGAGTCCTGAAATAATCTGTGATGTTAAAAGGACCTGGAACTTTCATGATTTTTATTTGTGAACCAGCAGTTGGACACTTGTAAAGCAGAGAAGTGTCTGTGCAGTCACCATCCTGTCAGCCTTCCAGAGAAACAGAAAGGTGGTGTGAGATTTTAGTGCTGGGTCCCTTCTAAAGATGATGGGTGAGACAGTTCTGTGCTGCTGCTCTCTTGCAACTTCCCCTGGTGTTAGTCAAGCTATTTTTGCAGCTGGTGATAAGGGCCCTGGCAGCAGAGGCTGGAGGAATGCACAGGGGCTTAGCTGCCCTCATCTCTCCATGTAAGGAGCTTTGGAGCTGTTACCTTTCCAAGAAAGGTAGGGGGAAGCTTAGATATTGCTCCAGAGAGTATAATGCAGCCTTCCCAATTTAAATTTTACCAAATACCAGAGGTTCTCTGGATGACTAGAATGGATTAGGAGCATTCAGTTGGTCTCTTTCATATACAACTGGGAATCTAAACTGGGCTTTACAGCCATCTGAATCTCTTCCAGCTGAGGACGTGCTTGGGGGAAATAGTGTATCTGAGACTCTGCAGAGTATCCATTCTATACAATACATATTCAAAAAATGCCATGAATCCAGTTTGTTTCCCCTCCCAGTGACTCTCTTGCTTTCTTCCAATAGCCCGACTGAGCGGGAACGCACAGAACGGCTAATTAAGACCAAGTTAAGAGAGATCATGATGCAGAAGGATTTGGAGAACATCACGTCAAAAGAGGTGAGTGGTAAGGGAGCAGCACTGGAAGTGCTGTTGGGCAAACTAGAGAGCTCTTTACTTTATGCCATGAAGAAAGGCCAGGACAAAAACTTCACATGATTTCCTTGTGTTCCTCTTCCCCACCCAGATACGCACCGAGCTGGAGATGCAGATGGTATGTAACCTGCGGGAATTCAAAGAGTTCATTGACAATGAAATGATAGTGATCCTTGGGCAGATGGACAGCCCCACGCAGATATTTGATCATGTCTTTTTGGTAAGTCTATCAGTGAATTCAAGAGTAAACACACCTAACACTTCTCACTATGTCTTGGTTGACACAGGGGCCTCTGGAGGAACTTAAAGGAACTCTGAAAGAGAGATTGGCTGGTCCTGGGGTGACATACTCTTAAGCAAGACTCTTGCTTCTTGGCTGTACTAGTTTGCCATACAACAGCAGCCAAACTGTAGACCCTGTCACTCGAGGATGGAAGGGAAAAAAGGTCTTAATTCTAACTACTTTTCAGGGCTGTTTCCATTGATGCAAGACCAATTTTGTAGCTTTAACTACACAGGGTACCCGCATGCCGAGTTCTTGGAGTATACATGTGTTTAGGAAAGGCATAACTACAGCAAAGAGGGAGGGGAGCTGCTGGGGAGAGCTGTATAACATTCAGGTGGAATGATGCTCTTGTAACATGGAAATCTCTGAGTTCATATGATCCAGGAGGAACAGAGAAGCTTAAAGAATCCTGGAGATAAATCACTTAAAAGACAAAATGTTTATGTTTCCTTAATGTTTTGCTTGCTTAGCTGCCTTTCGTTGCTGCTGAGGCCTGTCTAATTACTGCACCTCCTCCTGGTGAGTCAGCACTCCGCTGCATTTCCCAGCCCTGAAGCAACGGGACGCAGGTTTGGTTGGGCTGTCTAGCCTATGAGGTTGGCTCGACTTTAAACAGAGCCTTTCTTCTTGGACCAGCTGGTCTTTCCTAATGGAGAGGGCCTCTCCCAGCCTCCTAAAGCTTAGTGCTGTGGCTCAGAAGGGATGGTGTATGTTAATGTGCGCACTCCCAAGAAATTGTGATGGGGTATAGCCAGGAAACTTAAAGTATGTACAATGTAATGGATTTTTTTTTTTTGCAGACTATGTGTTCTCCAGAGAGAGACATGTTACAGGCTTACAGTGCGAGTCAAAAGCAGTACAGGCAGTTTGGTCCACTGCAGGGCTTGGAGTTTTGGCTCTGAGTGCCTTTAATGGGAACAAGACCTATAAAACAAGGCTTGCAGGCAGCACCAAGGAGAAGAGCTGTGGCTGATGTGTGTAATAGAAGTATTTGCAAAGCAGCTCTCTGTGGTGAGAAGCAATGCTCCTGAGGCTGGGCACCAACTTCATTCAGGAGTGTGTATACTGCAAGGCAAAGTCGAACAGTGAGGTCTCGGGAAGGCATGGAGCTGTTCCCTTCTAGGTGGAGGCAAGAGCCCTGTGGGATCCCGCAAGGATTGCTAAAATAACTAAACAGAAAATAAGAGACCTGATGATGTTGCTGATTGTGGATCAAAGGACAGGAGGAAAGGCTTTCACCACTGCAGCATTGTTCTCCATACCTGTGGAAACTGGTGGTTCCCAGGCCTGAATTAAATTAGTCTGAATTAAAAAGTCTGTGGGGATATGGTAAATACAGTAGGGATCAAAATGTGTTTGTTGGCAGATACTGAATAGCAAGACCCCCCATAGTCCTCCTTCACTTCATGCACAGCTCTGGACTCTGTGGCTGAAGGCAGTGGGTTCTGTTGAAATGTGGGCTACCACGGCAGGTAGTGTTTGCCCCTTTATTCTGCTCGAAATTCGGAGTCCCATGTGTGCTGACCCCTTGAATGGTGTCCTCATTATGACGATTTCTCTTAGGAAGTAGTTCAGTTTGGGAAGAACCAGATGTTTTTTGTTCATTGATTTCCTGAAGTGTCAAGACAAGACAACAGGCTTGTCCCCAGTAGCTGCCGCAGTGGTAACACAGCTCTCCTGTGCGTGTGCATCCAGGCGCAGGCTGTGAGTGCTCAGGACTTTCCTGCAAGCGCTGCCGTGGGCGCGAGCGCGTGCCTGTGAGCCGGAGCTCTTGGAGCTCCCCCACCTCTGACGTGGGGCGCCCATGCAGGCTTTCCGGGGCAAACAGCAACCCATCCTCTGGGTGGACACTGCTGCTCCTGCAAGACTGGGAGAGTCTGGCTCTCAGGCTGACGGGGTTTGCAGGCAGGCGGTGGGTATGCTCCAAGGGCCCTGGCTGTGCCTCTCCTGGCCCTCGGGCGATATGGAAGCCTGTGCTGTGGGAGCAGCCCCGAGCAGTGCTGTTGTGCTGGTGGTGGCAGTGCTACCTGGGTCCCTCTTGCTTACTCCTTCATCTGAACCACCTTTCTATTTAGAAGCAGATAGCTTGTGCACCTTCAGTTTTGAAGGAAGCTTTTGTCTGAGTGGTTTTGTCCTCAGTCAGGGTTTACGGGTTTGAGCAAGCAGCTTGGAAGCCCTGCGTGTGCTGCAGAGAAGAGGGTTGGCTAGCCAGGGTTTAATGTGTTTACTTCTGTGCTCACACAAGGCTTTGAACATGGGGAGAAGTGTAACCCAGGTGAGTTTGCAGTGTTGCTGCCTTTGATGTGTGAGATGGGGTGTTTCTTGTATAAAGAGCACCTGGATGGTTTTTAAATGCAGGCAGCCTCTTTCCTGTGCAGTAGAGCTGGCAGCAGCCTCCAGGGAAAGGGTGGAGTGGTCTTGTCTTTGCTGAGGTTGATTTGTCAGTGGTGTGCAGGAAGTGCCAGCATATGGTGCTGGGCTCCTGCTTCGCAGAGCTGCTTGTTGCTGCAGAATAGATCTGGTTAATGGGGTGAGATAAGGTGCTGGACATCAGCTGTGTCACCACCCTTCTGTGTACCCCTTTACTCAAAAGCCCAGCTCTCCCAACACTTGGCTGGCCAGCTTCCTCCTTCAGTTCACTGGTGACAATCCCTTCCTCCATCAGTTGTCTGGCCATGCCTTCCCTCTGGCTGATGTGTCCCTTTGTGTGTTTTCCCTGCAGGGCTCAGAATGGAACGCCTCCAATTTGGAAGACTTGCAGAACAGAGGGTAAGTAGCTTCAGGCCATCAGCTTAAAAGCAAGAGCCTGGCGTCAACACTTGTCTGTGCAACAAACTCTATTCCATACCTACTATGTAACCTGAGTCTTACTAAAGGGTTTGCAGATCTGAACAAGCTCTTGCTTCCTCCAAACTCGCGTCCCACAAACAGTCACCCTAAAGTAAGAGAGTCTTGTTCCCTGACCTTGACTGACATCCCCTTGGTGAACAAAGGAAGCCAGCAACTCTAAGTAGCAAAAAGCTACAATTACTTTACTGGATGCTGCGTAGTTGGCTCTGAGCCCTCTGCTCCAGCCCGTTGTTCTGGACTGAGGTCTCAAGATTACAGGGTCACTTTGGAGCCTGGACCTCCGGACTGCGGCAGGAAGGAAAATATGTAAAAGAGCATTTGTTGCTTTGAGTGGGGCCCAGTGGGAAGTGAAGTCCTGTAGCTCTCAGGCTTAGCACTGATGGGTTCCTCTGTCTTCTGCCCTTTCTACCTTCCAGACTTCAGCTTAGCATGTCCTTTCTCTAGGCCAGGTGGACCTAGCACCAAGATTGTGCAATTAAATAATTATTTATGGGTTTGGCTTATTTGTACCAATCCAGTGGAAAAAACCTAATCACTCTGCTGAATTGAATTGATAACATAGTTCTGTACCTCAGAGAATCAGCCTGGCAAAATGGACTCTCTTCATTCAGCTCAGGGTCTGCTGCAGTTTTTTTTGGGTCAGACGGGTCCTGCTGGACTGCCAGCAATCTCATACCCATTAGGGAAAAGAGGTGTCACTCCTTTGTGGTGCTCTTGTTCTGTCTGATATCCCAGCATGAGTGCAGCTCATAAGCATCTTACAAGCAACCCTCAGGGCTAAAAATACTGGATGTAGTATATATAAATCCCGTATGCTTTCTCTAGCAGTTTCTTTTCCAGAAAATTAGCGGATAAGAAATAAATCCTCCCCAGTGGCTCATTGTCTGTTATATCTCTCTGTAGTTATTTTATGCATTTGTTTAATTATGGTATTGCTCAAGAGCTAATGCCTTCAATTTTCTTGTGTTGTTGGTGCAGCCAGAGGAAAGATTCACAAAAGGGGCTTTGAGAAAGTGTCCAGACACTAACTGAACAGTCTGTGCAGGAGCTCCTGTGGCAATTAGAATAGAGAGCTGGTGGGCAAGCAGTGTAACCTGACATACTGTAGAGGAAGTTTTTATCCGGTATAGATGGAAGCCCTTTTATCAGAGGCTAGGCTCTAAATTGCTCAGCAAAACCTTTTGTCTGCGTTACCCACTGCTTCCTTGCATCAAGTCCTGGTTTCCAAGGAGGTGTGTTCACGACTGAAACTTCAAATGCTTTGAGTTTTGCCACTCACAAATCAAGGCAAGGCTTTTGTGTGGCAGCTGTGGTATTTCTCTGAACTTGCCATGTTCTGCACACTGCATTTTTTTATCTGCTGTCTGTTTCCATGCAGGGTGCGGTATATTTTGAATGTGACTCGAGAAATAGATAACTTCTTCCCTGGCCTCTTTGAATACCATAATATTCGGGTATATGATGAAGAAGCAACAGATCTTCTGGCTTATTGGAATGACACCTACAAATTCATCTCCAAGGCAAAGTAAGTCTTTTCAGAACAGAACAAACACATTTAGAAAATGTATACTAAGCATTTTGTATTTTCTTGCTGATTTTCTTAACGACTTTTTCTCCTTGCCTACCTAGGATCAAAGCACTTTTACTTTGTAGTTTCTGTCTAAGTGTTAGAGTTGCCTTTCACAAATTTTCATTCTTGTGGGTGCTTGTACAAGGAACAGGGCTAGTTGAGAGGTTTCTGCCCAGTTGCAGTCCAGGCAAACAGTGGAGGAGATCATTCCTGTACTAGAGAGCCAACAGTTTGCCTGATGCTTAGGAAATGCTGTGGATCTGCAGAGGCGTTGGTGGGAGGAAAGGGCACTAACAAATCGAGCAGGGTTTAACAAAAGTAAGAAGCAAAACCGTATCAGCCAAACACAAATATAAGCTGTTCCCTGCATTGTGAGGTTGTACAATGAAGCCCACAGTCTGGAAGTGATTTCTTGTAGTGTAATGCTCTGGAGGAAACTCTTCCCTTTAACAGGAGTAAATGCCTGTGTAGGTCTCTGAGCTGTCAGTTACAGTGAGTAATCTGATAGCGGATGCTGAAAGTAGGGCCTTTTCACTGCAAAGAACTGCACCCCCGTTACATGAGCTGTCTCCAGTTAATTCAGCAGCCTTCTTAAGGGAAAATTGGTCAGAAAGTGGATTGGCATATGTTGCCTTTAAAGTATTATTTCCATTATAGAAGTCTGTCATCTCTTAACCATAGCTGGTGCTTGCAATTTCTTATAGCCTTTAAAATCTGACTTGAGTATGGCTCAAGACTTTTTCTTTAAAAGACATCATCATATTCCCTTACGTATTGATTTAGAATTGTTGTCATCCTCAGAAGTATTCTCCTGCCCAGAATATTTTCCATTGGGGTTTAAACTACTGGGCCTCAGTACTGTATATGAGGTGATGTAAGTTAATAATCTTCCAAACTGGGGCGATTACTGTACCCCTTCTTTGACCTGTCTGCTTGTTGTGTTTTGGGGTTTATTTTAATCACCGAAAGCATTGCAATGTTTTGACGAATTCGATTTCCAAAGTTGAGAAAGTCTTAGAGCAGTCTCAAGGCTGCTATAGCATGTTATACCCCACATGGTGCAGACATATCTCAGAGTGTCTGGGGAGTGTGGACACAGGTACAGGCTCAGGCAGCTGCGAGCAGCTCAGGTCTGAGCTTGTTGAGGCACAGGACTTGGTGTGTTCTGTGGCCTCCTGGTTTGTCCTGTGGGAACTTCACATGACTGGCAATCCAGAAAACCTAACACTTAAAGGAGAAAATGAAAGGTGCCAAACCCAAATTCTCTCAGCCTGCTCCGTGCCAATGCTGCCCAGCGCACAGTTGACAGAGGAGGGCCATAGCCTTCCTCCTCGTGTTTCATGGCAGACAAATGTTTTTTAATTCCTTGGAGCAGAGCGCTGGCTGCCCTTTCAGACTCTATACCAGCCTCACCAAGCAGAGTAGCTGCTCATTGCACTCAAAGGCACTGTTTGCTTTGCCTTCAATAAGAAAAAATTAATTAAAGCCAAAGGATCTTCTATCTGATTGCAATAGGGTGTTGCACTGCAGCCATCATTTGAGGTCTCTCTCTCCAGCCATGGGGAGGTCATCTTTTCCACTCGCTTGCATTTGGACAGGTAGCATGGTGAAGGACTGTTATAAACAGAGCCGGGGCAGGGGTGAGCTTTCTACCTACAGACAGTCCTAAGAAATGATGGTATCAAGAAAAATCTGCCAGGTTGTTTGATGGGGCTTTTGGATAGATTTGCACCTACCAGTATCTTGAGAGCTGTGGATGGGAGCTAAGTGGGATTTCAAACACCTGACTAAAGCAGTGTTGGTCTTGTTCAGCCAATTGCCAAACCCAGTGATATGCCATCAAAAGTTTGCTGTAGAACATCTCTGTGCTAGAGGCTGCCCTGAACTGCTTAGCATCTTCCAGGGATGTGTTTCTAAACTGTAACGCCACATTTGTGTGATAGATGGTTTTTTTATTTGGAATATTGCTTGATAGTAGTGGGCCACTTGAGCTGAGTTCAAGGATGCCATATTAGTCTTTAGAAGTCTTCATAAATCTCTGAAAACAACTGATGTTTGTCTACTTTGCAATAAAAGCTTCAGAGGAGTAGTTGTAACAAAATCCGTTAAGAATATTAAGATCTTGTTCTTCACTCTCGTTGTGTGTCTTGCTCCAGTTTGTAAATTGGATTACCAGATCACATCCCCGACTTCAACTGTGGCCACAGTGTTGAAAATGTGTTTGATAATGCTCTGGTAAAGAAGTTGCTGTTTTCTTAAGCTTCTCAGAGGCTGTGTTTTCTGTTCAGTGATCCTCTTTTGTCTTTCTTCCACTTCAGGAAAAATGGTTCTAAGTGCCTGGTGCACTGCAAGATGGGAGTGAGCCGCTCGGCGTCCACGGTGATCGCCTACGCCATGAAGGAGTACGGCTGGAACCTGGACAGGGCTTACGACTACGTGAAGGAACGGCGCACGGTCACCAAGCCCAACCCCAGCTTTATGCGGCAGCTGGAGGAATACCAAGGGATCCTGCTGGCCAGGTGAGTGGAAGGAAGGACCCTGATTGCCCACATTAAGGCATAACACTTAAATGATTGACTCCATTATTTTAATTAGAACTTCTGTCACTGCATTATGTAAGCTCGTGATTGTCTTGGGGAAGATAGCGCTCTGTTTTCATGGGTTATCTCAGCTGAGCCTGGGAACGTGTGTAATAAAGAGCTTTTAGGAGGCTGTTTGGCTTCTTGGACGGCTGGTTTTTGGAGAATAGCATCCCATGAACTGTCAGCTGAATACAGCGTTCAGAGCTGTGCAGACTCCAGCAGAGATAAATTATGTCCCTATTGCTTGTAACATCACTTGGCAGGAAATTCGCTTTGTCTCCATCTCAGCCTTACAGTTCCCTGTTGAACATGCCCCTCCTCAGCAGCTGGTCTGGTTTTATTTAGATCCCTTCGGTAAGTGTTGGTGTTAGGGGAGGGGACAGGATGTTCTGTGCATTGCAACAGCGGTGTTTATTCCTGCATGGTGTCCTGAGGCTGGTCTGGAGCTGGGCCTGGGTATGGGCAAGTGTGTTGTAATCCCAAGCGTATCACCTGATTAGCAAAAAGACATAAATATTGCATGTTTCTGAGAAATCCACTTGTAAGCTGTGTTAAGCAATGTCTTCACGTGATCAGCTGGAAGGAGGTAGTGATACACTGTTTGGCCAGATAATGGTATTTTGTTTAGGATCCTGGTGTGTTTTGCCAGGGAGCAGATCGGAAGCAAGCAGAATGACCCAAGCTGAGCCTCCTGCCACAGGAGGTGGCTCTTAGTGTGTTTTGACCAAAGTAATTATTTCATAGGTTCTTGGCGCTGTTGAAAGGTACCTGCCTTATGCTGTTCTTTACAGCTGCTCAGCCACTCGTGCTCTCTTTAGGGCACACTTCTAACATCTGTCCTCTGCTTGGTTTTGTTCCTTCGGGTCTGTCCTATCCACTTGCAAAGACCTCCCTTCACCTTTTCTGTGCTAATGACTTATCATTCCTACTTTGCTCTCACCTGCTCCCAGCCCTCCGACTGTCTCTGCTGCTGGGCTGGGTTTGGATTCCCAATTTTTACACCAACCCCCTGGTGTAAGCACCTCCTGTCACTGAAGTGTGTTTCCTCTTCCCCTCTCTGCGCAGATTAGCAACCTGAGGGCTCCTCTCAGCTTATTCCCTGATCAGGTGCACCCACAGGATCCTTGTCCTCCACCTCTTCCCGTGCCTGCCTTCCTCTCCCCGTTCCCCAAACACTGACTGCCATAACGACCCTCCTTCTTTCTGATAAAACAGCCAAGTAGTATCGAGTCTCAGGATAGCTCACAGTGGAATGGATATTTTAAGAAATTGTGCTCTTCTGGACTGAAACCCTTTGAGACAGACACCACACCTGCCTTTGGTGCCTTGTGTGACACCAAACATGCTCCTGCCACCGGTTAATAAAGGTCAGCGCTTAACTCTGAGCTGGAGGTGCCCTGACCAGTGTGGTGTGCTGTGTAGCATTGAGCAGACTGGGACATTAGATTTCACTGGGGTAGACTGGATGGAGGGAAAGAAGCTTTTTAGCTGTGAAAAACATGCCAACATCCTTTGCAACAGGTTGGTGAACACCTGTGAGGAGCCCTGGGCTGGTAGCAGCTGGGATATCAAGCCCTCAGCCCTGCAGTTAGTTTAGGTAATCTGTCAGTCTGCTAGTTGGTGGTATACCTGCAAAGTCACCCTATGCAAACATTTTGATTTAGGATTTTTTTTTCTCCTGTGTTCCAGTAATTTATTTTTCAGGAGGTAAATCTTTCTTGCTGCCATCATTTGTATGATGTGTGACTCTTCTCCCACTTAAGCATGCCACTGCTCCTGACCTGCTCTGCAAGTCCCCATACAACGGCACGAAGAGGATTACTTGTGAGGCTTTAAAAAAATGCAAGAGCAGTGCATTACATCTGTGTGTGTAGGACTGAAAAACCTGCAGTAAATGAAGCTTCACTGAAGCAAGGAATGGCCTCTCGGTACTGCAGAAATGGTCCCTTTTTACACGGTTTCTTTGTCAGCTCCAGACTGCTTTTTCCTCTTTCTTCTCTTGTGTTATTTAGCTTTGCCCTCTGGCCACCTTGTTTATTGCTGCGGAATTCCAGGACAGGTAAAAAAAAAAAAAAAAACAACAACAACAAACAACGACAAAAACCCAACAGATTCATGCTCATGTGACTGATCCGATTTCAGAGGGAAGGTATGTGAGGGCAGCCATGTGCTTGCACTATCTAGTTACGGTTTTGTGTTGGAGTTATAGCAACTGGGATATGTTTTCCAGCTGTAAAATGAAAACCCCCTGCCTGCTTTTAGTCACAACAACAAGCGTGTTTTGCTCTTTGGGACTGTCATACTTCCTAGGGTTAGTTAAACTGTCCCCTCCCTCTGATGATAAGACACGGAAAGGGGGACCCAGCCCTGTTTCTTTTATTAGTTATAGAGAAGGTACGGGAAAACAGTGTTTGGGATCCCCCTATGCCTTGTGCAACTTGTGAATCAACAGCAGTAGTTTTATACTGGAGGCTGCAGGGTGGTGGGGGATGAGGGGGGCTCCTGGTCCAAGGCTGGTGTGGACACAAGCTGGCCAGCCCTGGTGCCGTGCCTGAGCAGCCGGGGGCTCCTCTCCCTGGTACCAGGAGCACTGCCCAGGAAGGTCAAGAGGTGGCTGTGGGCTCTAGGAAAGGACGTGGGCTTCTGACCCTGCTTTTAACACCTCTTGCAGGTTGTAAGGCTGGAGGAAGTGTGAGGTTAAAAGTTAGCACAATACACCTCTCGCAGAGGTTGCTGACACCTGTTTTGATTCTCAGATCAAGGATGTGCTAGGCAAGTTTGGTTGGTTCATGCGTGAGGGTAATTTAACTTTCAAAATCAGATGCACAGCAGAGTGCTGGATTTGAGCACTGAAGCACCCTCAGAAAAACATCAACTTCTCCCCAGGTTACGTGGGAGACTTTTGACATCCCATACAGAGCCTCGGCAACAACCTGCCCCATGGACGAGCCTGGTTCTGCGGCCGGTGTGAAACTTTGCTCCAAAACCCATTAGAGCACGTGTACCTCAGAGCAATGCCTTTTGGCCTCCAGTCTTGACCCTCCTCTCCTTTCAGAGGACCCGATTCTGCCCTGTGTCATACATGAAGGTTGTAGCTGATGATGGGGTTGGAAAGCTAAATCTGCGGTGGATTGTTTTCCTTAGCTGTTGGGCACCCACAACTGAACTGGTACATTTTAATTAGTTCAATAACATCTGTTAATTAATGGATGTGTCTGGGAGCGTCTGCTCATACTAGCAAGGGACTGTGGAGAGCTTTTGCAAGGTCTCCTTCAGATCCAAGGACCTTTCTGTGGTATCTGCTCTCCTCCTAGGGGCAAACGGTGGAAGCACAGCCCTGTGGCTGTGGTCACTCAGCAAAGCCCTTGCAGACATGGCTAGCTGATGTGGTTTCACTGGGAGAAGTTGCCTCCTTTGCTCTCTGTAAGCCCAGGGTCATGGGCTGGGTTGTTTGGCAGGTGGAGATAAGGAAGGTGGTGCAATGCAGCTGGCAGTTACCTCGCCTTCTGACTGCTCAGACCTTCCTAAAAGGGCTTTCCAAGAGCTGGAGAACTCTTGAGCTTCCTTCCTGTGAAAGGCAGGTGGTGATTTGGGCTGTCTGTTGGCTGTTGAGAATGTCTTCGGTGTTTTACACACACCCACATCCACTCACCCTACCCTACCCTTTTGGTTCTCAGAGCCCAATTATTTATCACTGAAACTATTTAAAGAAGGAGCCACAAGGAAGATTGGACTTCATTCGGTGTCTGCCATCCACTCACATCCAGGACTGGGGACCCTGTCTCTTCTGGTCATTGCTGACTCACTAGCAAATGGAAGAGTGCTTGCTGGCTGAGAAAGGCCCAAATTCTGTAGTCAATTAAACATTGCATTTATTGAGTAGACTGATGAAATACTGCTGGGGAATACGTGTGTGTGGAGCGGAATGGTGCTGTGGGATTTGGCTACTGGAATAGCTTGTTACTGGATCAGCTTGTCCAGCAGCAAGTTTGGCCCTGAACTGTTTAGGTGAAGCTGCAGCTGTGATCAGTGACTCCAGTATTTGGCACGGTTTTTCATTTCATTGCATCCTCTTACAAGATGAGCCTGGCTGTGGTATGTGAAAACACGACTCAATGTTTTCATTTGCTTTTCTTCCCCGCAGCAAACAGCGGCATAATAAACTGTGGCGCTCGCACTCAGACAGTGACCTCTCGGACCATCACGAGCCCATCTGCAAGTCTGGGCTGGAGCTGAACAAAAAGGAGATCACCACCTCAGCCGACCAGATCTCAGAGGCAAAGACCAACGACAACCAGCAGCCGATGTCTCCCATCTACTCAGCTGAGGTAGACAGGGAGCAGCAGCTCCCAGAGGATGCAAACATGATCGAGGAGATGTGTGTGAAGGAGAGAAGGATCCACCTAGAATTTACATGTCGAGACTTCCACGCTGAGCAGATGGAGGACAAGCTGAACCTGAACAATATCAATGGCTGTACAGCAGGATGTTGTGTAGACTCTGTCCCCCCCGATAATTGCCATGCTTCTGAGGCCTTAATGCAACTCCAGCACCCCTTGGACATAACAGAGTTTCCTGATCTGACAGTGGACGATCTAGAAAAAGATGCCCTTAAGCCTGATATGAACGTGCACTTGGTTCCCATGGAAGAATTCACTTCGTGCTTAAAAGACTTTCCTCAGTCCCCAAACCAAAATTCCCCGAGCCTCCAACAGAATCCCCAGCCCGAAGTGACAGACCTCAGTGCAGACAGGATTGATTTCTTCAGTGCTTTGGAAAAATTCGTGGAGCTTTCCCAGGAGAGCCGGTCACGCACCTGCTCCCATTCCAGGATGGAGGAGCAAGGGAGTGGAAGGAATGGGGTCTCCAGGGTGCCTGTGCTGGAGGTGCCTCCTGCTGTGGAGGGGGGTGCAGATGCTCGAAGGAACAGCTCTGGAAACTCTCCTCAGGCATCAGATGATTCTTCCACAGATGAAGAACAACAAAAGGTTAAAATAACTTGCTTGGGTCTTCTTGTCCTGGCTTTCACTGAACAGGGTAGCTGTTTGAGGAGGGATTGCTAGATGCTTCCCCTTCACTTTTAGGTACTTGCCCTTCTCTGCACTTTTCCCTTAAACATCTTTTTGCTGGCAGTGGCAGGGTACTGGCTGAGTCAGCCTTGACCTGACCTGCTGTGCTGTTCTCATGAGAAACTTATTTTGAGTTTTGCATTAGGGGAGCAGATAGGTGGGACTTGACTCACTAATGCAGCTGAACCCTGAACAGCCGAGGCCAGCCAGCATCCTGAACCTGTGCGGGTATTTATGTGACTTAAGAAATCCATCAAAGAATGGGACAAAACTGGTACCTTTCCCTGGATGGGAAGCACCAGCACTGGGATAGTAAATCAAGACAGATGTAGGGCTTCCACTGCTGGAGGCAGAGAATGAGCCTGTCTAGGCCTGGGGTGACAGGATCAGGCATGTCATGGCTCACTTCTCTCCTGGGTAGAGAGATGGTCCAGACAAAATTTAGTAACCTCTGAATCGAAGTACCTTTCTCTTATAATTGCGTTCCACCCTTCATGACTCTCACAGGAATTGGTGATATCTGGGGCCATCATTTTCTGGGAGCCTCTCTTGCTTAAATTCCACACTGCATTGCTTGAATCTTTTCCATCTCTATGTGAGGCAATAAGGCTTTTCTAAATGTAAGAGGCCAATGCTGTCTCCAGTGATTTGGCAGAAAGAGCATCTGTGTGAATGGGGGGAACCTCTCTGGACATTTTCCTTGTGGAAACCAGAGTATTTCAGCTCTCAGTCATTCTTTGTTTTGTACTTCTGTTTGCTCCCATGTTTTCACTTCAAAACTGTGCTTTTAGCAGCATTAGGATTTTTTTTGTTAACTGGACTTATTAAAAAAAAGGGCCTACATTTCCCTTGGAATTTGTGGCAATTAAATAAAAGTTCTTAAATCTCAGTCCAGGTGAAACTCGAGCCTGGAATATGTTAAATGCAGTCCCAGAGACAAGAATGCTTCTACATTAGTGATCAAGGCACTTGTAATCTATCCCCACACACTGACACATGTGATTTTTGTTCCTCTGGGGTTGTGCACCCCCATTTCGTTTAAGCTGCTGCCATTTGCTCTGTGTCAGCACAGCTGATCCACTTTGTAATTCTCCTGTTTCTGTGTTGCAGGAGGTGCCCGAGCTGCCTAGCGCAGGCCATCTCACAAGATCCCACTCAGAAAATGCCATTTCTGTGAAGGAAATTATCACAGAGATCGAGTCGATCAACCAGGGAGCAGGACCTGCCCAGCAGAAAGAGGGTTCAGCCAACCTCACCCAGACACCAAAGAGGAGCACAGTGCATGACCTGCCCGTGGAGGCAGTTTGGGCATTGGAAAGGGTGGAACAGAGCGAAGAAGCCTGTGCTGGACACCAGGAAAAGGAGAAGGACCCTCTGCAAGCTGAGCAAGAAGCCTCCCCCTCCCTGCAAGTGTCTTCTGGTAAATCAGACCTGGAGGAAAGCAGCCCTGGGGGGGAGCAGCAGGAGCCACGCGGCTCCATCAACCCTGAGCCCAAGTGGTGCCCGGGCTCCGTCCGGCGAGCCACCCTGGAGTTCGAGGAGCGCTTGAGGCAGGAGCAGGAGCACCAGCACACACCCTCGGTCTGCATCTTACCAACCCGCAAGAACTCCAGGAACGACTCTCCCGCTGCCGAGCTCCTGCCGCGGGGGAAGAGCGAGGAGCCGCCCCTGGAGCTGGCTCCGGAGGTCGACAAGGCACGGGGTCCGGGTGCCGAGGAGCTGCTGCTGCCTCCCGGGGCAGAGCTGCCTGCAGAGCCCAGCCCGGGGCAGGAGGGAACAGCACAAGAACACAGGACAGTGGTCTCAACTGATGGGATGGAGGAACCATCCCTGCCCTCCCTCCTCCCAAAGAGAGTTGAAATCGTCGAATACGCTCCCACGGCCAAGTCTGCAGAGCGCCCCGACACAAGCTGTGAGCAGGGCGGGCTGGCCGCGGCTGTCCCGTCTTTAGATGAAAACTTGAACCCTTCATTGTGCTCAGAGAAGGCACCAACCTGTCTCAGAGCTCTGACCCTGGTAAATCTCTCGCTGCCGGAGCACGCGGTACACAAGCAGGCCACCTTCACCGTGGGCAGCCCCAGCGAGGAAGGTGGTGGGTTATCTCTTCACCTCGGTGCTGCTTCTCCTGCCCAGGTGAGCTCTGCGCCTTCAGCCAGCCCGGATGGTGGTTCTTACCCCTACGTAATTCACCTGGAAGGCGTCACTGAGCAGAGCACGGGTACAGACGATGAGCCGGTCGCGCCGTGTGGCGTTGAGGGAGACGCGACTCTCCCATTCAGGGACAGACCCAAGCCTCTCTGCAGGGCGGGGACCGGCACCTCAAGGCAGCTGAGCGGCGAGGGCTTCACCGGCCAACGTGCTGAAAACATGGACCTTCTGGACATCTCTTTCCTGTGCTACGGCCTCCCCCACAGCCCCAGCAGCCACAGCATAGAGGAGCGCAGCAACAGCCCCGGGCTGGTCAAGCAACGAGCGAAGGAAATAGAGGCTCGGATCCGGCACGCCGGGCTCACCACACCCTCCCACATGAAACGCTCGGCGTCCTTGGCCAAACTGGACTGCCTGGACCTCTCCAAGGACGACTTATCCGAGAGGCAGTCGGCCTCTTCCGATGCCAACCCGGTGCTTCTCACCTGTGTTGCCCTCGGTCGAGGTTTTCGCGGGGGGAGGTTGGAGAGGGGCTCGGAGAGCGCGTGCGGAAAGCATCGCCTTTCCTCCCCAGAGCCCGCTAAGCATTTTGTGGAACAGCTCAGAACAGCCGAGTGCATTGCCCAGAGCAAGCCGGTGGAGAGGCCGCTAGCTCAGTACGCCAAAGAGTGCGGCTCCAGCCAGCAGAGCTTGTTTTCCAGCGCGGATCCGACGTGGACTAGCTCTGAGGAGGGTCCTCCACTGCTCCAGGTGCAGGTCCTGGACTCCTTGTCTGTAGCTCGAGGTCTGGCTGTCGCACCCAGGCAGCAGCACGGGAGAACTCACCCTCTGAGGAGGCTCAAAAAGACCAATGATAAAAAGCGGACAACCAATCCCCTCTATAATACCATGTGATCCTGAGCCCTCGGCTGTGATTTCTTACCGAGAACCCGTGGTGTTGCGTTCACGCAAGGGGCAGGTGTAATATAAGGAACATGCACTTTATTGGTTAATTTTATATATATATTGTCATTTTACTGTTCCTGGCGCATGTAGGTGTGGGTTGGTTCTTCTGTGTGTGACTCTGACTGCAGGACTGTTTGGGTTTTTTTAAGGTTTTTTTTAACTCAGATAACCTCAAATGTTCGTTTTTGGTTTTTGGGTTTTTTTTTTTTTTTGTTAGTTTGTTTTAAAAGAACACCTTTATCATGCGAAAATTGATGTTGGCTTGCTTTGGCAAGGTGGAGTTTTGCTTAGAACCAGATCCTAGTTCCTAACTTGAATTTTCCCCATGCCTTGAAATGGTGCTGGGCAGTTGTTGGGGTGAGAGCCCCCATAAATGTGAAGGCTGTGCCAAGGTCGCTTTGTTTGGCCTTTCTTTTATTTCTGCAAACTGGAACTCCACGATGCTGGCAGATCCCTCACAGAGTCGCTTCAGGACAAACCCCTCCCCGGGCTCGGTTCGGCTGGTGCCTCCCCAGAAGGAGCACACGGAGGTGAATCCTCCAGAAGGATGGGCTCTGGAAACCCCCCCGGGCACCGAGATCAGCGCTCACCTCCTGGGCTGGGTCACGCAGAGCCCCCCCGTTTTGCGGCGAGGTGGAGCAGAGCTCCTCCACGAAGCTGCCAAGCTCACCTCTCCTCAGCTGCCCCCGACCAGCGAGTGAGAGGAGGAGAGCCCTCAAAGCCAGTGTGTTCTTTTAAAACAAATGCCTCGTTAGGGTTTTAACCCTCCCATTACTTGAATACTGCTGTGGGCCTTCCAAGTTCATGGCCATATCATCTGTCCTCTGCCCTTCTGCTGCCTCCCCTACACTCGAAAGCTGTTCTTGTCTCGTGCTGCCCGAGTTTTCCTCTCCCCTCTGCCATACTCACAGGCACTTCTCAGAGGCTGTTGAAATTGTTACACGATGTATTGCCCCTACTGAATGCAAAGCTTTGTCCTCTCTGCTGTCGCTCCTAACACTTGACCCAGAGGGAAGGTCTTTTCTGGAAGTTTTTTCTTTTTTTTTTTTTTCCTAAATTGTATATATGGTATTTATATAGAATTTTTTGTTGTTGTTTCTATGTTGTTTTTTTTTTTTTAAAAAAAGGACAAGACTGCATTCTATAAACTGGAAAACAAAACCACCTTACTCAAACTCAGTGCTCTTCGTTGTAATCTGCACAGAAATGGGAGCGGATTTGACATTGTAAGCTGTCTTCCCTTTCCAAAAGTGAGCCTCGGTGCCAGCCTTTGCCAAACGTGTCCCTTCTCCTCCAGTCCTGCGTGAACCCCCGTCGCCCTGCTGCGGGAAGAGGACTGCATATCTGCCCGTCTCCCTCTCGCTTGAAGCTGGGATTCAGAAGCGCCGGTTGGAAGTGGAAAGCTGTGTGCTGCTCCGAGCCATTCTGCAGGTTCCTGCTTCCCCGGAGCACCGGCGTTTTGGAGGGTCTGCTCCAAATTTTATCAAATTATTTTATGGTTCCCGAGCCGTTTGGCTAAATCAAACCTCCTCCTTTCCAGCCGTGCATATCCACAGATTGTATGTGTGCTGTAGCAGCAGAGAGAAAGGCGCTTTGGCCACAGGAGAGCTCTGGGTCCTGTTTGCAGTCCCGTGGCAGGTCTGTGGCAGAAGAGCGTGTCTGAGCCGGTGCTGGGCTCTGGCCCAGACCTGCCCTCCGGGGAGGAGCGAAGCGGAGAGAAGATGCAGAATGGCTCCAGCTGCCGAAAGCCCAGCGCGGAGGACGCGGTGTGGGAGGAGCAGCCGCCAAGGCCGTGCCTAGAAAGCAGCGCTGATGCTGCAGAGCCTTGAGCTGGGGCAAGCTCGTCTCGAGCCGGAGGGGAGCGCGCAGCACCGGAGCGTTGTGCTGTATCGGGAAGCAGCGTGTGTCTGCCCTGGGGAAGGGGTGCCTGTAGCCCCCCAGCTTGCCCGCAGCCGGTGGCAGAGGTTAGCCTCGCAGGTTGTAAGGTAATCCCACCTCACTGCCCTCCCAGGGATCCTCCCGCACTGCCTTGCAGCGCGCCCGGGCACAGGGCCCTGAGCGTGTCGGTCCTTGTCCAGCGGCAACGTGGGCTTCGTCCCTTTCCGAGGAGTTTGAGCTCTGCTGGGGGGGGGGGGGGGGGGTGGTTGCCATCCGTGCTAGCTGCAGCCTGGAGCGCAGCCCGGTAGCCCAGCAGGGCCCTGTCTTGGGTCAAATAGGACGTCATCCCAGGCCATTTCGGTCACCCAAGTCCCTGGCCCAGGTGGCCAGATGCTTCTTCGGGACGCTGAAAGACATTTGGCTTTTCCTAGCCCGCTCCAGCTGGCTTTGGAGCTGGGCAGGCAGCGTGGAAAGGCCAAGTGGCTCATATAATCTTGTGAAGGACAGTTCCAGTCCTTGCCTCCCCCACAAACCTCACCAGACCCCGCCGCCCACCGTTCCTGCCCCCAAGGACATGTCTGCCTGTCCCTCCGCGGGCGGAAGGGACGGGGTGCTGCCAAGCCTGCCCTGTGTTGGAGGGAGCATGCTTGGCTGACAGCATGTCCTGGTGACAAGGATCTGCTTGGGAGGGGACAGCCCTGTGTATTATTTGTTCCCTTGAGAAGGGAGGAGGAAGAGGAAGGGGATCAGGTGTCTTTGCCCAGCTTCATCTCAGGAGAAATGCCCTGTAGGAAGGCTCTTCCACACTGACCAGAAACGCTGCTTCCTTCCAATACTCTGTGGCTGTCCGGGTGCTTCAGCTGGGGAGAGCAGCAAAGGGGCAAAGGCCCTTGCAGGGAGGTGCTTTGCTGTCCCCTTGTCCTCAGCTCTGGCCCAGCACAACTCTGGTTTTTTTTTTTTTTTTTCTCTGGGAAGCCTGTGGACAGGCGGAGGGAGTCAGGGAAGGTGGTTCTCTGGCAAAATTACAAAGGCGTTGGAGCTCTGGGGGCTCTGACCTGGGCAGCAGAAAGGGGAAGGGGCTGGAGGGGCACGTGGCATGCAGCTCCGCGGGGGCCCTGGCTCCTCCTGGGCCAGTGCCTGGGCAACGAAGCCACCCAGCCCCTGGCATCAGCGGTCTCTGCCTGGGGACCGGTGTCCCTCCTCCATGCTGGTAGCTCGTGGGTGGGTGGTGCCTGGCTCCTGGTCCCTGTGGCCACCCCACGAGAGCTTCTTGTGACCCACTGAGCTCCACGGGGAGCAGCACCTCCAGGGTGCTCAGCAGCTGACAAGCCTCGCTGATAGAGGGGTTTTAGGAACAACGTGTTGTTTTAAGGGCATTTTTGTACAAAGCAACTGTTCTTTTGGTCTCTTGCAAAGCCCTCTCGGAGGATGCTTTATTGTTTACATTGACTCCTGTACGATATCTCAGCCATCGCCCCCCCCTCGCCCGCCCCCTCTCCGGCTGTACTGTAACGTGTGAGCCTTGCACAAATGGATAGCGTGCGCGTGAAACTGGTTTTTACACTGCGTTCTGTTGCACTCGATGGCGTGTGTGCGTGCGTGTGTCCGGTCTGCTTGAGAAGTCGTGACGTGTACAAATCTCTCCCCTTTCGGCCCTTTCCCGGCGGCACGGTCCCAGCGGGTGGCGGGAGGGTCAGGAGGTGACGCCGCTTCTGACTCACTTGGGTGTTAAGCGGGGCAGGGATTAGCTCTGTGTCCCTCTGCCAGCGCAGGCCTGGTGGCAGGTATCCCACCCCAGCTCCGGCTGCTCCGGGGACCTCCTGGGAATTGGCACAGGCACCAGGGGCTCTGAGAGCCCCACAGCGCTCCTGGCCCGGCGGCGGGAGGAAGCCGTGCCCGCCGCAGGTCCCCTGCTCCCGGCACGGTGCGTCCTGCCTTAATCTGGGTTTAGCTCCACACAAGCCCCCACGCTTCTCCCTGAGTGGGACCCCCTGAGCCCTTGCTGGAGTGGGGCCGAGGCCGGGGTGCAGGCTGGGCAGAAGGCTCTGGGTCGCCCTCCGGCAGTGCCACCAGCGGTGCCAACAGCCAGCCCGCGCTGCAGACATCTCTGTTGGCACAAAAGAAGGTGCCAGTGCCTTTTCTTTTCCCGTGTGGAGATGCGACGTCCGTGGGCTGGTTTGCAGGGGTTGCCCTGGGGCCGAGCAGTCCGGCCGCACCGTGTCCTGGAGCAGGAGTCCTTGGGGACGGCTGGTGGTGGAGTTGCAAACTGGGGAGGGGAGCGTTTCTGTCTGCCCCCCCCCCCCCCCCAGGCTCTTCCTTGGTGGCTGGGATTGTCCCCTTTCCCCCTAAAGACTTTATGACCGATGTGCTCAGCTGTTTTTAAATGTGAACTTGTGCACTGATGTGCAGATTCAATGTTCTTGTTACCGAATGAATAAAGTTTTATTTTGAAGATGAGACGGGTATGCTGCCTCCTCTTTGGGATCTAGGGCTGGTGTCAAAGCACGGGATGGCAGCGGGGATCTGCGGGGGGGCCAGAGCGGGGCTGTTCACTCGTGTCTCCTGCCAGAAGCGTAGATGGACCCATCTCGTCCCAAGTGACCTGTCCAAGGGCCGAGGAGCCGGGTGCCCGAGCAAGGTGCTCTCCCAGCTCCTGCTGCGGTTGCGGGGAAGATGCTGGGGGTATCGTGTATCTCAAACTGCCAGGACGCTGCGGGTGGAGGAGCTCTGAGGAAGGTTCTGGGGTTTAGGCTCTGAGGGGGACGTGAGGTTTTAGCCAGACCCTGGACCAGGCCCACCATGGCCTGGCCAGGAGCTGAGCCGAATCCAAGCACCGAATAACCGTTGGCGCAGGGAGATCTGTGTTGGGGAACGGTCCGTCTGGGGCGAGTTGGTTTTGCTCCATCGTGTCCCCTGTCGTCGTAAGCAAACGTGGCACAAAGGTCTGTGGGCTCCCCCTGGCCTGCCTGGCCGTGGGGAGCAGAGGGGAGGACGAAGAGAGCCAAATCCCCCGGAGCTCAGCCTCACGGGCCCTGCATGAAGCTTCCCGCTGGGCCAGGGCTGAGTAAGCACCAGGGTGGGGGATCAGGGGTGTCTGTGGGGTGCCTGGTCCCTCTCCCAGCTGGGGAATGGCTCTTTTCTCCGCTTGCTGGGGGTGTGGCTTGGAGCTGGGGACATAGGACAGGGGGCTCACACCGTCCCCAAGCTCCAAGGACAGAGCGAGCCAGGGCGCTGGTGGGATGGGGCAGGCAGGGGGTGTCTCTGCAGCCCCCTCCCTCCCTGCCACCCCTTTGGCCAGACGAGCAGGGATGTCACCTTTTCCCTGCCTTTTTGCCAGCTGCCCCCTCCTGCCCAGCTCAGCCAATGCTCGTCTGGCTCTGCTCGGTGCCCTTGTAGGGTCCAGGGCTTTGCTGCCTTTCCAGGAACCACGGGTCCCCAAGCCCTACAATCCCTTAATCCTTTTGGGCCAGGGCATCCCTGCGGGGCTGGGCTCTGCTAAATCCCAAATGTGGCTTCTGAATGTGCCTGTAACCATCTCGCTGTGCAGGGCTGGGGCCGACGTGGGCTCCCCCCGTGGGTTTGCGGCCCCCTTTGCTCCCGGGGGGTAGGCGGTGAGCCCATGGGGTGCTGTGGGCGGCAGGAGCCCCACGACCAACCCATGGCCACGGTCTCTGTGGGGCTGGGCTGGCCCCAGGATGTGGGGGGGGGACACCTCGCGGGGTGTCCAGCAGCCCCGTGTCCCAGGGGTGACCCCAGGGGCGATGGCAGCTTGGGGGTGCTGAGGACTGACGCTCCCTTTGGTCCCCCCCCAGTGCTTTAGGAAGACGTTGCCTGGCAGGAGGGGACAGAGAGGCTTCTCCTGCCCCCCCGTGCCCCCCCCACAATGCTGGGTCAAGGGGCTCCCATACACCGTACCGGGGGTTGGGGGGGGGGGGGGGGAGCTGTGGGCACCCTTGGACCCGCCCCGCTTTTGGGGATGGAGCGAGGGGCTGGCTGTGCCAGGGCTGACCCCATCCCTGCGGGCAGAGCCGGGGGGGGGGAGGCCGGGGGCCGGGCAGGGTGCGGGGGCAGGCGGGGCCGGGCCGGGGCCCCCCCTCCCTTTCCCGGTGCCCGCCGCGGGGGGGGCTGTGCCGGCCCCGGCGCCCGGCTCGGCTCAGCTGTTCTCTGCGGCAGCGGCGCTGCGCGGTGCCGAGCCCAGCCGCGCCGGGCGGAGCGGAGCGGGGCCGGGCCGGGCCGAGGGGAGGGAAGCGAAGCGAAGTGACAAAGCGAAGCGAGAAGCGAAGCGGGAACCGGGCCGAACCGAAACGGGGCGCAGCGCCGGGCGCGCCCGTAGCGCGCAAAAACCGCGGAGCGCAGGTGGGAAGCGGGGAGCGGGCGGGCCGGGGCCGGCGGCGGGCACCGGGAGGGACGGAGGGAGGAGGCGGTGGGGCGGTGGGGCTCCGGGCTGCGGCCCCCCCCCCCTCCCCCGGGGCCCCCCAGCCCCTCGCCCGCCCGGCGGGAGATGGCTATATTTGGGTAAGTGACCTCTGGTCGTTCCCGAGCAGCCGCTGCGGATTCAATTGTGGCAACGTAATGGCACTGCCGGGGCGCGGGGCTGTCCTGCCCGGCCCCTGCTTTGCACCTTGCCTGCACCCTGCCTGTCTCACCCCCGTGCCCCGCCTGCACGCGCTGCTAGCACCCCACCCGCACCCCATCCCACCCCGCCTGCACCCTGCCGACACCCTGCCTGCACCCCGTCCAAACCGGCACGCCTGCAGCCCGCTAGCACCCCGCCTGCACCTCATTCAGCCCTGCCTGCAGACCCCCGGCACCCTGCTCGCACCCTGTCTGTTACCCCCGCCAGCACCCCACCTGAACTCTGCCTGCACCCCATTCAGCCCCGGCGGTACCCTGCGCCCCACCTACACCCTACCTAACCCAGCCTGCACCCTACACGCTGCCTGCACCCAGCTCAACTCTGCCCGCACCACATCTGCACCTCACCTGCACCCCACACCCTGCCTGCACCCTGCCCAGCCAGCCAGGCTATCCCCCCCCTCCCCTGCATGCTACATCCCAAGCTCTGCTCCCACTGTCAGTGGATGAGGCGCTGAAAAATACCTGGCAGGCGTCCCCGTGGAGCCCACTCACTCCTCCCCAGGTCTGGAGACCGTGCTCGGGGCCGTGGGGTGCCGGCATCCAGCCCCCCTCGGTAGTGGGGCTCCGGGCCCCCTCATCACCCGGCTCCAACCCACACCCGCTCTGCCAGGCCGGGGACGATGCTGAAGGGCCATGAGGACCCCTGGGGACACCCAGGGACCGGGCAGTTGTGGCTTGGCATGGGGTTGCACGTACCCTGGCCGAAAGCCTCCAGCCAGGGTGCGGAGGAGCAGATCTGCTCCTACCTCTGCCCACACCCACCCCACAGGCGGGGGGGGGCAGCGGTGCCTGGTCCTCCGGGCTGTGGTTTGGTGGCTGGAGATGGCTCTTGGAAATGGCTGAGGCCCCAAAAGAGCACGGGGGAGTCCCCAGGATGGTCAGTGGATCATGGGTGTTGTAGAGCCCCAGCTCTCAGGGTTTTGGGGTCCCAAGGGGCTTAATGCCCCCCCAGGAGCAGTTCAGGGTCAGGATGGAGGTGGGTGACTGTGGGCAGCGTGCGCGGCTGTGGCCGAGGGCTGGAGACCCCGTTGGGGCCATGGTGAGCGCGGGGGGCTCCTCCACACCCCGGCATGCCCATGGGGCTGCGTGGCTGCGCCGGGTCCAGCCCTGGCCCAGGGTCAGCGGCAGGCGAGTGGGTTGGGGGTGCAGAGTGGGTGCACACGTGGAGCCCCAGGGGCAGGGGCCCATGGGGGGGAGGCGTGGGGTGGGCAACGCTGGCGGCACGGCCTCCCTCCTGGGTGCTGGGTTGAGCCAGGAGATCTCAGGCCACCGATGCAGGATGGGACACAAGGGGACAAGCTGTGCCCTGGTGCGTGGGACCGTTGTGTCTGCCCCAAACTCCCCTCGGCCCCACTTTTCTGCTGCAGCCGCTCACGTGCCACCCCAGTGCCAGCCGTGGGGCGCGTGGCACAGCCGTGGGGCGCGTGGCACAGCCGTGGGGCGCGTGGCACAGCTGCAGGACATGGCACAGCTGCGCATCATGGCATGGCCATGCCCCTGCCCAGTCATCAAGCAGCTCCGGCTGTGGGATGCCCGTCCCCAGCACTACAGCACCCCCGCCCCCCCCCCCCCCCATGCACCAGGGCTGCCCCCGGTCCCTGCTGCGGGGTCGGGGCCACGTCGGGCACCATCCTGCACCCTCACCCGCTGCCATCTCTGTGTCCCCAGGCTTGTGCCCAGGGTAAGGGGGGGGGGTCTCTCGGAGTGTGAGGCCTGAGGGGGACAAACCCCCTCCATGCTCTGCCAGGGAAGTGTGTGGGGGGGTGTCACGGCCTGACCCTGTGCCCCACAGCCATGAGCCGCCGCGTGGTACGCCAGAGCAAGTTCCGGCACGTCTTCGGGCAACCGGTGAAGGCCGACCAGATGTACGAGGACATCCGTGTCTCCAAGGTGACGTGCGACAGCTCCTTCTGTGCCGTCAACCCCAAGTTCGTGGCCATCATCGTGGAGTCTGGTGGCGGGGGGGCCTTCATTGTCCTGCCCCTTGCCAAGGTGAGTGGAGAGGCTGCTGGGGTCTGGCTCCCTGGGATATAGTGGGGGGAGGGACATGACCTGCTGATGACCTCTGCTTTTGGGGGGGCTGCTGTGGCCTCAGAGCCCCCCCAGCTTTGCCCTAACATCCCCATCCTCACATGGGAGCTCAGGGCAGGGATAACCTGGGGCGATCGTTGGCACCTGTGAAGGGTGATGTCCCGGCGGAGACTGAGGTGATGCGGGAAACCCCCACCCGCTTTCTCCCCAGCCCAAATTCCCCAGGGCCACACGATGCCCAGGGAATATCCCAGTGGGATGGGGATCTGCCCTGCCCACCCCAGCAGAGTGGCTTGGAGGGGGTCCCCAGGCCCATCCCTGTCATCAGAAGGGACACAAACCAACCTCTTCCAGGGCACATCGTTCCCCTCCATGTCCCTGCAGGGCCTCGTGCTAAGTGAGCCTGATTCCCACCGCGTGCCTCAGTTTCCCCCTTCGAGGCAGGTGCAAGGCTCTGGCCACCACCGGGGGGCCCTCTGCGTGTCCCCTTTTGTGCCACAGCCCCACGTAGTAGCCAGGCTGGGTCTTGGGGGGGGCACTTGGCAGGGTCCCCCCTGGCCACTGGGGACCCATCCCGGCACCTCGGCATTGCAGACGGGACGGGTGGACAAGAACCACCCTCTGGTGACGGGGCACACGGCGCCCGTGCTGGACATCGACTGGTGTCCCCACAACGACAACGTCATCGCCAGCGCCTCGGAGGACACCACCGTCATGGTGAGGGGCCGGACCCCGGGTGGGGGGGGGGGGGGGGGGCGGGGGGGCCGTGGGCTCTGGGGGGAGCGGCGTGGAGCATTCCCCCCCGCCTTTGCCGCCTGCGAAGTGTCACTGGCCTATTTTTAGCCCCGGTGCCATGCGTTCGCGCTGGCGGCGGCTGCTCTCTCCATGATGCAGCAGTTTGTGCTAAATATACCCGCCCTGGCGACTCAGCAGCCAGGAATAGCTGGGGGGGGGGGGGGGCGATGGGGGCTGTGCCCCAACTGTGCCCCCCTCCCTGCGCCCACCAGCCCCCCCCAGTGCTGGGGATGCACCCCAGGGTGAAGGCGCTGCTGCTGTCCCCTCGCCACCCTCCTTGCAGCTTGAGCTGGGATTAACGATGGGGTTAATTGGCTCCGAGGCCCCCAGCTGCTTAGTGCTCACCTGCAGGGTGATCCCCGTGTCCTGTCCTGTCCCATCCATCCCGCCCCCCCCCCTCCAGGTGTGGCAGATCCCCGACTACGTCCCCGTGCGCAACATCACGGAACCAGTGGTGACACTGGAGGGTCACTCCAAGCGGGTGGGCATCCTCTCATGGCACCCCACCGCCCGCAACGTCCTGCTCAGCGCAGGTGAGGGGGTCCCGGGATGCCCTCCCTGGGGTCAGGGCGGGGTTTGGGGGGGATCCGTGGGGCGACGGTGTCCACCCCGTGGGCCCTCGGCAGGCTGTGACAACCTGGTGATCCTCTGGAACGTGGGCACGGGGGAGATGCTGCTGGTGCTGGAGGACATGCACACCGACCTCATCTACAACGTGGGCTGGAACCGCAACGGCAGCCTCCTCGTCACCACCTGCAAGGACAAGAAGGTCCGCATCATCGACCCCCGCAAGCAGCAGGTCGTGGCGGTGAGTCCCCCCGACGTGTCGTCCCCCCTCATCCCACTGCGGGGGTCCGTGTGTGTCCCGTCCCCCCCCCCCCCCCACTTCCCATTGCCTGCCTGACCCTACTAACCCCCCCCGCACCCGCGCGTCTCTGTGTTTGGTTTTAACCCGCTAACGGCCGGCGCAGGAGAAAGCCAAACCGCACGACGGCGCCCGCCCCATCCGCGCCATCTTCGTGGCCGATGGCAAGATCTTCACCACCGGCTTCAGCAAGATGAGCGAGCGGCAGCTCGGCCTCTGGGACCTGGTACGAGACGGCGGCTCCCGCCCGGCCAGCGCCGCCCCGGGGACCCCACAGAGCCCGGCCGAGCCGCGGACGTCCCGGGGATACGCCGGGTGCCAGGGGTGCCCTCCTCGTGCCCTCCCCAGGAGCAGGACTCAGCGGCTATTTTGAGGGACAGATCCGGACCCCCGCCTCTCTCCGTTTTCCCCCCCTTCCCACGCCCCGTGCTGACTCTCTCCCCCTCTCCCCAGGAGAGGTTTGCCCCCCATGAAGGGCTGAGGCCCGTGCGGGCCATCTTCACGCGGGAAGGACACATCTTTACCACGGGCTTTACCAGAATGAGCCAGCGGGAGCTGGGCTTGTGGGACCCGGTAACGAGGCCGCATGGAGTGCTGCCCCGGGAACTTGGCCCCCCCCTTCCAACCCTCTTCCCCCTCTAACCCAGGTTGGGGTGCTTGCTGCATCCTCCTCCTCCCAAAAGATGCCAAGTTCCCAAGCGTGCCGTGCTGTGCTGGGCATGGTGGTGGGGGGCGCTTATGGGGGGCAGGTAATGCTGGTGGGGGGGACAAGCCAGGTTGGGGGGCACCCAATCATACAGGTAACAGGAGTGGGGCAGGGGGACCTGAGGGGGGGCATGGACAAGCTGTCTGCCTGGGGGGCTGTGTACCCCGGGGCAGGGCGGGGGGGGAAGAGCTCCGTCCCTGCAGTGTGCTGTGGCTAACGAGTGTGACTAACCAGGGAGGGGGTTTTGGGGCCACCACTCACCCCCTACCACTGCTCCGGCCTCGCAGAAAAATTTTGAGGAGCCCATCGCCCTGCAGGAGATGGACACGAGCAACGGGGTCCTGCTGCCCTTCTACGACCCCGACTCCAGCATCGTCTACCTCTGCGGGAAGGTAAACCCCTTCCCGGGGTGCAAACCCCCCTCCTCCCTTCAGCGCCACCTCATCCCTGGGGGTGCTGGGGCTGGCTGACACCCGTCCCCACACCCGCAGGGTGACAGCAGCATCCGGTACTTCGAGATCACGGACGAGGCGCCCTACGTGCACTACCTGAACACCTACAGCAGCAAGGAGCCGCAGCGGGGCATGGGCTTCATGCCCAAGCGCGGGCTGGACGTCAGCAAGTGTGAGATCGCCAGGTGAGAGCTGGGGGGGCAGGGGGGGGGGGGGTGTGTGGGGGGGAGGGTTTGGGGGGAGCCGGAGAGGTCGGGGGGGGGGAGGCCGGACCCTGACTGCCCCTTGTCCCACACAGGTTCTTCAAGTTGCACGAGCGCAAGTGCGAGCCCATCGTCATGACGGTGCCACGCAAGGTGAGCCCGTGGGGGTCCCGGGGGAGACGGAGGGGTTTGGGGTGGGACACACACACACATGCACACTCCCCCTCCATCTCACCAGCATCTCCCTCACACCCCCCCCCCCCCCCCCCCCCCCCGCAGTCAGACCTCTTCCAGGACGACCTGTACCCCGACACGCCGGGCCCCGAGCCGGCCCTGGAAGCGGACGAGTGGCTGTCGGGGAAGGACGCGGAGCCCGTCCTCATCTCGCTGCGGGACGGCTACGTCCCCGTCAAGAACCGGGAGCTGAAGGTGGTCAAGAAGAACATCCTGGACAACAAGCCCCCCCCGGGCCCCCGCCGAGGCCACTCCATCTGTGACCCCGACATCTCTGTGAGTGTCCTGGGGACGGTGCGGCGGGGCTGTCCCCCTGCCTGGGGTGGGGTTGGAGGGGGGCTCCCCAGTGATCCTGCGTGTTGCATCTCTGTGTGTGTGTGTGTGTGTGTGTGTGTCCCACACTCAGCAGCCAGCCTTGGAGGAGGTGCTGGAGGAGATCCGTGCCCTGAAGGAGACGGTCCAAGCGCAGGAGAAGCGCATCTCCGACCTGGAGAACAAACTCTGCCAGTTCACCAACGGCACGGACTAGCGCGGCGGCCACGGCCACAGCCAGAGCGAGGACTGCCCCGGCCCCCCCCCCCCGGGGATTAAAGCCGAGTCCCCGTAGAGGGCAGGAGCCCAGAGCCATGTTCTTTCCCCAGGAGCTGAGGCTGCAGGGAGGGGGTCAGGCCCTGACCCCCCCCCACCCCTCCCTGCAGTGGCATCGGTCGCATCCTGCTCCCGGGGTGGCCCGGCACATCGACACCCCGCTGCAGCACTGAGGGGGGGGTCCCCACTTTGGTACCTGCAGGCTGGGGCTGCTGAGCATCCCTCCTTGGGGACCTTCAAGCTGGATGTCAGCATCCCCCCAGGATGGGGGGGCTGCTGGGCCCCCCCGGCCAGGATGTGCTTGGGTACGGTGCTACATCTCCCCCCCCCCCTCCACTGCCCCCCTCGCCTCCTCCTCCTGCCCCATTGCCCCCCTCGGCTCTTCGCTCCTGGGTCCCCCTTTAATAAAGGGCTCGGCCGCCCATGGCTGCATGGCGGGTACCAGGGCTGGGGGGGCCGCCACGCTGGGGGGGCCCTGCCCACACCCCGCTGCCCGCACGGCCCCGGCGCAGGCAGAGAGAGGCCGAGAGAGACAAACATTAAAGAGCATTTATTGGTGTTGGCCGCGGTCGGAGCTGCTCGGGCTCCCCTGGCCCTGGCCCAGATGTCGCTTGTGGGGTGCGTGAGGTGGGGGCGCCGGCTACGAAAAGTCCCGGGGGAGCGATCCTCCCCCCCTCCCCGCCCTCCATGGCCCCCAGCCCCCACCATGTGCAAAGGAGGAGCAGCCCGGGGCGGGGGGGGCCAGGGGTTAGCACCATTTGACATAAGGTTTCTCTCGGGGTCAGTGCCCGGGACGAGGGGGTGTAGTGCTGCCAAGGAGGGGGGACCACCGAGCCGGGGGGGGGGGGCGGGAAACGGGGGACAGGGGGGTGCGAGCAGGATGTAAGGAAGGGGGGTGACACCAGGCAGCTTTTCGCAGGCACCCCCTTGGCTGCCCCAGCGGCCCCCTGTGTCGGGGTGGGGGGGCGGCTGTCCAGCCCCGCGCTGGCTGTGGGGTGCAATGGGGCTGAGCAACCCCTCCCCCCCCCCCCCCCCCCGGCCCATTGGCAGGCAGAGTGGGGCTCCCGGGTAAGTGCACTTGGTAGCGCCTGGGCAGGGGGGGCTGAGCAGAGCCCCCCAGCTCTGGGGGCACCCCAGGACCCCACACAATTGTCAGACCCCACCCCCATCTGGGGCAGAATGTGCCCCCCCCCCGCATTCCTGGGGTGAGGGGCTGAGCAGCACCCCATGGGGTGGTTGGGGGGGGCTAGGGCTGTCCCAGGGGTGGGGTACAGTCCGTGGAGTTGCCCCCCCTTGGTCCCTGCCACCCCAGCTGCAGGGCTGTCACCCTTCCCCATCCTGTCCTGATGTGGGGTGCCCCCCCAACCCCCCCCCCCCCCAGTACCTCCCCAGCTACGGGGACAATCTCCCCCACACCAGGGCCAAATCCTGCACCCCCCCTCTCCCCCTTTGCCCTCCACAGTGCTTGGGCTGGCTTCCCCCCTCCCCACCCCCCGACTCCCTCCCCTCTCCGTGCCCCCATACACGGCACCGCTGTGTCCCCATTGGGGTGGGGAGGGGGGGTGTGGGGCTCAGCGGGGGCGCGGGGTCACTTCTCCGTCAGCGAGAGCTGCAGGATCCGCTGCAGCTCCTCTTCCTCCTGGCGCGTCCGGCGCTCGGCTTCCTCCTGCTCCCGCGCCGACAGCGCCATGGCCAGCCGCAACTGCTCCGCGTAGCTGGGGAACAGGGCGCTGGGCCCCCCGCCGCCCCCCCCCGGGGACGGGGGCACAGGGGGACGGGGGGCTGCCGTGTGCTGGGGAGTCCTGGGGGGGCGGCAGGGTCTTAGCAGGGGTCCCCGTGGGGCTGGCACCCACTCCCGCTACCTCCCCCCCACCCACCCCCCCCCCACCCCAGGGTGGTGGTGTGGCGGGGGGGGTTGGGGGTGGCTGGACCTTACCAACCTGTCTCCTCGGCGGCCCTCGTGTGACATGGGGTGGGTGCCTGGTTTGCTGTTGGTCAGCGCTTCCCAAATGGTGACCTGCGGCCAGGGGTAGAGGGGGTGCTCAGAGGGTGGCATCCCAGCCCCAAATCCCCCCCCTGGCCCCAAATCCCCCAAACCTGGCCCTCCTGCATGAGCTCTGACCCACCACCGCAGGATGCGGGGATGGGGCAAGGTGGGGGTGAGCATCCCGGGGCAGCGGCCGGACAGGGTGGGCAACGTGCTCCCCAATTTGGGGGGGGGGGGGGGGCAGTGCACACCTGGTCGTACTCGCTGCCCGCTTCCAGCAGGCTCTGCTGGATGGCGAACTGCAGCAGATCATCCTCATCCTCCCGCAGGGCGTCCTGGTGGGTGCCCACCACGCTGTACCCCCGCGGCACCTCGAAGAGCGCTGGGTCCATCTCGCACGCCCGGCACGAGGCTGCGGGGAGAGAGGTGCCAGCGTGGCTGGGCACCCCACTGTGTCCCCCTGCCACCCCACCGCCCGGGTGTGCGTGTCGTCCGTCCGTCCGTCCTCCCCCCCGCCCCCCCCCCAACCCCGCGTACTCAGGGAGCTGGAGCTGCTGACGCTGGAGGAGTCGCTGCTGGGCGAAGGTGCCTCGCTGCTGGGGCTGTGCCGCAGGGAGCTGACGGGCTCGTCGCACCCGTTGAGGTTCCCGAAGGTGATGCGGGCGTTGAGGATGTGAAAAATGGGGATTTCTGCAGGGGGAAAAAAAAAAGCAAAAAACAAAACAAAACAAACAAACAAAAAAAAAAAAACAAACAAAAAACCAAAACAAAACAGGAAGGGAAGCTGGCTGCACCAACCACGCTGGTGACAAAGATCCCCCCCCCCGCCCCGTACCGATCTTGACGGGGAAGCCGGGCGGGAGGCGCAGGGTGATGAAGTCCCGCAGTTTGGCGAAAAGCGCGTTGCTTATTGCCATGAGGTCGATGATGGGGGCAACCTGCTCGCAGAGGGACAGCGGGTGGTCCTCGCACAGCCACAGCTTTGCCTTGAACCTGTCGGGGACAGGCGCCGGGCTAGGGACCCCTGCCTGCCCCTTCCAGGGGCTCTGCAGCGGTCAGGGGGGCAGTAGGAGGGGGGCGGGGGGGTGTCCCCCCCCCAGCCTGCTCCTTCCCCCCCCTCCCCTCACTTCTGCGTCTTGGTGGTGAGCTCCATGGGGCGCCCCATGTCCCGGTTGCCCAGCTCAAAATTGGGGTTGAAGTACTCCTCGGGCGTGATGGCGGTGGGGTTGGCGTGGCTCAGCGTCTGCGTGATCAGTGTCTGCAGGACAGCCCGGTGGGGTAAGCGGGGGGGGGGGGGGGGGTGTGTCTGACTGTGGGGATGCGCCCCCCCTCCTCCAAGACCCCTGGGACACTCACCCCATTGTTGGGCCCTACGTGCTGCTCGGCGATGCCCAGGAAGGATTGCAGCGGGGTCTTACTGCCTGCGGGAGGTGGGGGGGGGGGGGGGGGAGGTGAGGGCCAGAGCCGGCGCAGGGCCGTGCCCCCCCAGCCCGCACCAGCTCCACCTTTGCTCTTGCCCTTGTGCTGGTCCGAGAGGTGCTCGGTCCGCGTCCGCGTGATCAGCTCCACGTTGGACGCGCCGTAGACCTGGCCGAGGAGGGGGTGGAACGGCAGAGGTGGGTACCCCCCACCCACAACTGTCCGTATCCCCCCCCCCAGGTGGCTCGACCCCCCCCTTCCCCCCCAACCCCGCCCCTCACCTTGGCCTCGTACCCGTTCACCATTTCCGTCTTCTCGCTTCTCCAGCCCAGGATCCCAGACTTGTTCCTGGGGTGACACAGGGCGCTGTGAGCGACGGTTGGGTTCGCTCAGACAGCCTCGAGAACCCTAGAGGGGATGGGGTGGGGGGGGTGGGGGGGGGGGTGGTGCAGGTCTCAGTGCCGCTCCCTCTGCCCCCCCCACCCCCCCCCACCCCCCCAGCCCACCTCTCGAAGGCGATGTTCTTGGTGTCGAGCTGGGTGGTGACGACGGGGGCCGTCAGCCTCCCCATCACCTGCTCCTCGGTGGGCTGCACAGCAGCCAGCAGCACCTCCTGGTCATGGCCGGCCAGGGCCAGCGTCTCCGAGTAGACCACTCGCCGGTCGTGGTCGATCTCCATCACCACTGCGCTGGTGTCTACAGGGAGGGAAGTGCCGGGGGTCAGCGTAGACAAGGACACCCACAGCCCCCACCCGGTCCCGCCGCAGTGCCAAGGGGTCTCCCCGGTGAGCGTAGTGGTGGTGGGGGGACACACACACCCCGCTGGTGGCTCACCTTGTCCCCGAAAGACGAAGCTGCGGTTGCCCCGCTGCCAGGTCATATGGTCGAAGCCCAGCAGCGTGGTGTCCACCCGCAGGTTCTGGCCACTCTTCCACACCTTGTAGGTGTCGCTGGGGCAGATCTTGGACACCAGTGGCACTGGGGAGAGATGGCGATAGCCCAGCCGGGGATGGGGCCACCCTGCAGCCCCCAGTGGGCTGCCAGCACTGAGCTGGGTGGGGGATGAATCTGGGGAACCTTGGTGGGACGGTGGTCTGCAAGCTTGGGGTGTAGGGGGGAAAAGGGGCAGGCATCCCTCCTCCTGGAGATGGATGTTGGGGGACTCTGCTGGGAAACTGCTGCTCCCCGCCAGCCATGCTCTGCCCCAAGCTTACCCCAGCTGGTGAACTCCCACTTCATCTCCACGTAGAAGTCCTGGGCCTGCGAGGAGCAGAGTGGGGTCAGGAGAAACCCGTGGCTGGCTTCCCCCCCCAGCCCTGCTGCAGCCTCAGCAGCCCCCCCGCCGGAGGGAGGTACCTTGCGCAGCTTTTCCAGCAGGATGGGGATCCCGGCCAGGCGCTTGATGGCTCGCTGGTAGTCACGGTAGCGCAGGACCAGCTGCACCAGCTCCAGGTCGCGGGTGCTCACGGCTTCCTGCAGCACTGCAGGGGCAGAGAGGGGCAGGGCACGGCACGGCGTGGCACGGCAGAGCTGGCCACACCGCGTGTTGCTGTCCCTTGGGGAGCTGCAGCACCGGGTTGAGCATGCCCATGTCCGTGCCCGTGGTGCCCGTGTCAGTGTCCGTGCCCATGTCCATGCCCGTGGTGCCCGTGTCAGTGTCCGTGTCCATGCCCGTGGGGCCCGTGTCAGTGTCCATGCCCGTGTCCATGCCCATGGTGCCCATGTCTGTGCCCGTGCCCGTGCCCATGTCCATACCCACGCCCATGTCCGTGCCCGTGGTGCCCGTGTCTGTGCCCGTGTCAGTGTCCGTGGTGCCCGGGTCAGTGTCCATGCCCGTGGTGCCCGTGTCTGTGCCCATGTCCGTGCCCGTGGTGCCCGTGTCAGTGTCCGTGGTGCCCGTGTCAGTGTCTGTGCCCATGCCCGTGGTGCCCGTGCCCGTGCCCATATCCATGCCCACGCCCATGTCCGTGCCCGTTTCCGTGCCAGGGCAGCTTGATGGAGGCCAGGTGCAGCGAGCCCCCCTGCTCACCTGTCCAGCCGCTGCGGTTCTCCTTGCCCACGTCGGCACCATGCTTCAGCAGCACCCTGGCGCACTCGAGGTGGCCCAGCGTGGTGGCCAAGTGCAGTGGGGTGCGTCCTCGGGGGTCCAGCTGTTCGATGTCGGCCTGCCAGGAGGTTGCGGGGCTCAGGGGGCATCAGGGCAGCTGGACCTCACACCCCCCCACACCTCCTGCAGATGAGAGGCTCCCGGATGGAGTGGCCAGGGAAAGCAGCTGACATTTAACTGCATCTTGGAGAGCATCCCCCTCCTTGAGCTCCCTCAAGAGATGCACCCCAAAAATCTCTCCCTGCTCCCCACAGCCACTGCCAGACCCATGGGGAGGGTGGGGAGAGCGCGGCGGTGGCTGCCAGCACCCAGTATGGCTCAGCACAGTCGGGCTGGGCTGCACCCACCAACGCGGGCACGGAACAGGGGCACGGCACGGCAGCGGGGAGCACAGATGCCCCCAGCGCGGTGCACGGGCCTCTGCATAACTTGATGCAGCTGCAAGCGCGAGAAAAGCCCCCACCTCTAGGATTTTGGATGGGGGGGGGGGGGGGGGGGAAACACAGTTGCCAGGCAGCCGCTGCCGGCAGCCCCCCTCCGCCGGGGGGCCGGGAGCTCGGCGGGCGACGTGGGCTGCGGCGGGCGCACGTGTTCCCCTGCCTGAGCCGGGGGCGGGTGGCTGCGTGAGCGGAGCGACTGCTCGGGAGGATCCCCGGGGCCCTGGGGAGCTGCGCGCTGGGGCTGCGATTGTTTGTGCCAAACCCCGGAGCCTGGCGCCCAGCCAGCCCCGAGGAATCCCTCCCGGCCCGCCGGCAGCGGCGGTCGGTGGGGACCCCGAGCACCCGCAGCCACCCATATCGCACCCATGCCCAGGGCTGGGGGCACGGCTCGGGGGCTGATGGAGCAGTGGGTGTGTGTGTGGGGGGGGGGGGGGGGGGGGGTCCAGCCTCTGCCCCCCATCCCCAGCCAGGGTAAGAAGGGCAGTCGGATGCTGCTGGGGCAGGAGGCAGTGGGGACGAACCCCGAATCAAGGCATGGGTTTCGGGGAGGCCACCCCCAGGGAGGGCAAACCTGAGGTGCAGGACCCAAAGGTGCCAGCTGGGACCAGGCACCCCAGAGGTGTTTGGGGCTGGGCAGGGGTGGGGTGGGGGCTCTCCAGTGCCCAGGCCCCCACCTGCAGCAAATCCCTGCCTCGCTCTTGGGCATGTCCTGCGGTCCCTCTGCCCCAGGGATGTCCCCCATCCCTGCCCGGGCCGCGGGCATCCCCATGCCCCTCGTCCTCAGGGGCTCACCAGGCAGGGGCACCCCTCAAGCTGCCCACACTACTGGAGCAAAACATCCCCCCCCCCCCCCCCCCCCCCCCCCCACACACACACTTCCCCGGGAGCCAACGTGCTGCTTCAATGTTCTCCAGGCGACTGCTGCTTCTTAATTGCGCTAATGAAATGACTCTAATTAAAGCAATCGCCCCCCAGCTGGGGGACGGGTGCTGCAGGCTCAGCAGGGCTTCCCAGCCGCAGCCCTGACCCGGCACGGGCTGGGATGAGGGTCCCCGCTCCGGGGACACAGCACCGGAGCCAACCCCGGGGGACACGGTGTGACCCAGTTTTTGCCAGCAAGAGCTCGGTCCCAGGCCCTGGCACTGGGATGGCTCCGTCTCAGGGGTCGTGGCACAGACCACCAAGTGCTGCCTGTCCTGAGGCTGTGACACCCACCGGGGATGGGGACAGGGACGGCTTTGGGGTGGCAGCGGTGCAGCGCAGGACCGCAGCTCCTCCCGTGCCACCTGGGCACGTGGCACGGAGCATCCCCTCTGCCGGGGTTGTCCCCGGGGTGTGGGACCCCAGCGCCAGCTCCTGGGTGGCAGCGGGGGCCAGGGGCCAGCGCGGGGAGGTGGTGCTGGGTGCTGGTGTCCCTGCGCAGCCCCAGGTCCCTGCCGCGCGTGATGGGGCAGGCTGAGGCGTGGGGTGTCCTGGCACAGCAGGCTCCGGGTCACTGCCTGCCCTGTCCTCGTGCTGTCCCCGCCATGGGGACCCACTGGCCTTCGCTTCCCAAGCGTGGGCAGGAGCTCACAGTGACAATTCAGGGGTGACCCACACAGGGGCCTTATGGGGATGTGGAGAAGAGCAACGCACTGCCAGCTGCCCCAGCGCTTCCCAACCCCAAACACCTGCACATGGCAGGGGGGCCCATGTGGTGCCACTGCCCCCCCCCACGAGTCCCCAGGGTGGTGGGAGGGCAGAGCCCCCAGGGAAGCGGGACACCCAGCCCCAGCCCCAACCCACTTACCCAGGGGATGCTCTGTCAGGGACAAGGGCTGAGCTATGTCCCTGGATGCCCTGGACAGGGGTGGAAGGGGGGGTTCAACCTGGGCTGGCCCCCACCTCCTTCCCCCAAACCCTCACTCACCCTAGGGTCTGGCCTGCAGCACCCATGGGCCCCTCTATGCACCCCTGGGGGGCACACAGGGCCTCGCAAATGGCAGTGGGGGGTCATGGCAGAGCCCCTCCTCCGGCTGGGCATGGGGTGGGGGGGTCAGGTTAGAAAGCCACTCTGCAGGTGAGCAGGGCCGGACCCCCCCTTGCAGCCCCTGCACCTCCCCACGCCCGCTGAGCCGCCGCTGCCCGCGCCCAGCTTTGATCTCTGCCGCGCCGGGCTCCTGGGAAAAATGACCCCAAATTACCACGGAAATAAAACCACCAGCAATGGGGTGGAAGGCCAGGGCGACGCTGGCGCAGCCCCCGGCCGGCCCCCACAATAGAGACGGGTGTGGCGGGAGCCATCGCCTGCATCCCGGCAGGAGCATCGCGACACAGCGGCCCCCCGTTTCGTGCATCACCGGGGTCCATCCGGCACGGCCCTCAGCACCTCGGGGTGCCGGGAGCTGGGCCGAGGGAGTGGGGATGCTCGGCACAGCCTCGCCGCCGGCCTCCCTCCCGTGCCTGCGGTTTCCTGCGTCTTCGGGGTTGGGTTTTAATTACCTGAATTGCAATGCCATGGGGAGAGGGAGGCTGGGAACCCGCCTGGGGATGAGCCCGCGGCCCCGCTCCATCACCGGCTGTCTTGGGGGGGGGGGGGGGGGGGAGAGGGCGGGTGGTTCCCAGGCTGGGGGACATAGTGGGTCCCCCCACCCTGAGAAGAACCTGTTTGGCATGCTGGGGCTGATAAGCTGCACCCCAGCAGCGTCAGGGCTCTGTGTCCCCCCCCTCAAGAAGGTCTCAGTCTGAGGGTGGGGAGCTGGGGTCTGCACCCCCGGAGGGGCGGGCAGCACCTCGAGGAGCGGGGTGCGGGTCGGGGTGCTGGGGGCCCGCAGAGGCCTAGGAAGGAGCCAGGGACACGTGGGGAGGGATGCTTAGGGATGCAGGGGACCTGCGGGTGGTACCCAGCACTCCGTGCCAGCCCCGGGGGCAGCTGACAGAGTCCCGGGGTGCAGGGGTGGGGGGCACACGATACCCCCAAAGCCTTGCCAGCCGCGGGGAGAGACCCCATCCCCACCCTCACCTCCATCCTCATCCCCAACCCCGAGCAGGAACCCGGCTGCAGCCCGGTTGCATTGCATCATGCCGAGCCGAACCGGGGGGGGGCCGGGTTCGGGGGGTGCATGTGTGTGTGTGTGTGCGTGTGTCCCCCCTCCCTACCGTCACCCCACCTGCTTGGCGCTGAGCTCCCGGTCCAGATCGCGGGCGCGGTTGTGCCAGACGAGGTAGTGCAGCGGGTACCTGCCCTCCGGCCCCTTCCTGCCTGAGCAAGACGCGAGCATCCTCCGTGCATGCTGGAGCGGCCGGCGGGCGCGGCGCGGGGCGGAGCGGGGCGCGGGGGGGGGGCGGCGGGGCGGGGCGGCCACGGCACCTCCCGCCCGGTGCTTCCCCCGCGCACCCCCCTTTTCCACCACCCTAACACACACCCCCCCACCCCCTTCCCCGCACCGCCCGGCCTCATGGGACTTGTAGTCGCCCTGCCCGGCATCGCCCCCTTTCCTCCTCCTCGCCCACCACCCCCTCCCCGCACCGCTCAGCCCATCACCGCGGCCTCTGACCCAGCGGGGGTCGCTGCAAAAGAGCTGTTTTCCACACACCCCCCCCCCCCTCCCCAAACCCACACACCCCCTCCTCAGGCTGATTTCCACCCCCCTCCCAGCTGACCCCTGAGCCAGCGGGCCCGGGCACATGGCGGGGCAGGGGCGATGGGTGGGCAAGGGCCGTGCGGGGGAACCCCCAAATCCCCCCTCCCCGGGGAGCAGCAGGCGCGGGCCCCCCCCCCCCCCCCCCCCAGCCCCGTTTCCTTTTCCGCCTGCGTTTCTCCGGGGCGGGCGTCGCGTTTTCCGGCTGCCGCCCGAGAACAATGTGAGGCTGGGCCTCCGCCAGCCTCCCCGGCCTCCCGCCGGCGCCACGCTCCCGGCCCCCCCACCCCGCTGCCCCCCCAACCCTGCCGCGGGGTGAACCCCCTCGGGATTATTCTCCGGTCAGCCCTGATGAAGGCGGCGGTGGTCGCATTTCCCTCCCTCCCCCCCCCCCCCGCCTTCCCCTCCAGCTCCCCACCCCGGTCCGCCCCCCCCCCCCCAGCATCCCCCCCATCTCCTCGCCATCCCTCCTGCCCCATGACGTCATGAGCCATCTCCTCGGCAACCAGCGGTGAGGTCACTCGCGGCGCAGGCCGTACAGCCTGGCTCATGGTGGTGGGGGGCAGGATCCGGCCCCCCTCCAGTGCCTGGGGTGTCCATGCCGCAGGGGTCTGACACCCAGAGCTGCCTGTGGGGCCCCCATGGTGATACCGGGGTGTCCCCCCCCTCCCCGCTCCAAGCGCTTATGGGATCCCAGAGCAGTGAACAGGTCTCAAATGGTCCCCACGCCCCCCAAAATGTCCTGCCGAGCCCCCCGGAGTGCTGTGGCCCACCCCGCCCATCCCCAGTGCAGTGTCCTACCTGCACTGCCGGGGCAGGCGGGGAATCCCAATATCCTCGGGCCCCCCCCCCCCCATCTGACCCCAGGTGCCGGCGCTGCACCCCATAGTGCGCCCGGGATGGGGGATGGCAGGGAGAGTGGGGGTGCGCAGGAGTGGGGTGCACCGTGCCAGAGCTGGCATTGGGAACAGGACTTTGGGGGGGGGGGGGGGGTGCCAAGGGCTGAATCCAGCTCCCAGAGCCGGTGCTGGGGTGCCCAGAGTGGGACCGGGTCAACTGGGAGGTGCCCGGGGCTGGGAGTGGGGTGTGCTGGGACCAGGACCAGGATCAGAGGGGTGCCCAGAGTTTGGAACTGGGGGGGGGGGGGGGGATGAACAGGACCGGGGCTGGGATCAGGACTGAGAAGGGAACCAGGAAGACCGGGAGCAGCACCCGGGGGGTGCCCAGGAGCCGGCGGGGTTACACAGGACCAGGCGGGGGGTGCCCAGCGCTGGAACCAGGAGCGGGGCGGGGAGCGGGGGGGGGGGGGATACCCAGGACCGGGGCGGGGGGGGGGAGCGCTCTGCTCAGTCCCGGGTGTGCTGGGTGCTGGGGTTGGGGGGGGGGTGGGGGGTGTGTTGCGGGCGCGGGGCGGTGCCGGTGCCGGTGCCGGGGCGGGGGCGGCGCGGCCCCTCCTCCGCCGGGGCCGGGCCTGCGCCGCTTCCTGCGGAGCCGCCGGGCGCTGGGAGCAGCCGGCAGCCCCCGGCGCGCCGCGGCCCCGGGCCCCCGCCGCCGCCCCCGCCGCCCGGTCCCTCCCCCCCCCCTCCCTCCTCCTCCTCCTCCTCCTCCTCCTCCTCCTCCTCCTCCTTTTCCCTTCCCCGTTTCCCTCCCTTCCCCCCCCCCCCCCCCCCCTTCCCCCGGCGGGCCCGGGGGCGCCGCCGCCGCCGCCCCACGCTGGCGCAGAGGCCCGGGCCCGGGCCCGCCTCGCCGCTGAGGATGTCCCGGAAGGCGCCGCGGGCGGAGGTGTGCGCTGACTGCAGCGCCCCAGGTAAGGGCCGACACCCCCCCACCACCACCACCACCACCACCTCCCCGGCTCCCGACCCCACGCTGCGCCTTATCCACCCTCCCCTCCCACGCACACAGCCTCCCGCGCCCCTCCTGGAGCTTCCCCCCCCGGAGTCTGCCCGGCAGCTTGCTTTGCGCTGCCCGGTACGGCTCCGGGAGCCCCCTCTGCACCCTGCGGTGCCCCCACAGCACCCCCCTGAGCCCCCTCTGCACCCCACGGTGCCCCCAGTACACCCACAGCACCCCCCTGAGCCCCCTCTGCACCCCACGGTGCCCCACAGCACCCCCTTGAGCCCCCTCTGCACCCCACGGTGCCCCCAGTACACCCACAGCACCCCCCTGAGCCCCCTCTGCACCCCACGGTGCCCTCCAGTACACCCGCAGCACCCCCCTGAGCCCCCTCTGCACCCCGTGGTGCCCCCAGGACACCCGCAGCACCCCCCTGAGCCCCCTCTGCACCCCACGGTGCCCCCAGTACACCCACAGCACCCCCGTGAGCCCCCTCTGCACCCCACGGTGCCCCACAGCACCCCCCTGAGCCCCCTCTGCACCCCGTGGTGCCCCCAGGACACCTGCAGCACCCCTGTGAGCCCCCTCTGCACCCCGAGGTACATCCCCCTCGTATGCTGCCAGGGAGCCCTTTTGCATCTCCTTCTGCACCCCACAGCAAGGTGCCTTTGCACCCCCCTGGGTGCCCCCAGGACCCCCCCAGTGAGTCCCCTCCGCACCCTGCGGTGCGCACCCTAGGACCCCCCGCTGAGCCTCCTGCTCGGCCCCCCAGGAAACCTCTGATGTGCCCCCCAGCGCAACTCCCTGTTGAGGCCCTTGGGCCCCCTTGGTGCACCCCCTTTCCACCCCAGGAATCTCCCAGTACACCCCAAATGTGACCCTGATAACCACACACCCACCCCACCCCCCCTCCCCGTGCCCTCTGTGTCACCCCAGTGTACCCCCACTGCACCCACCACCCCCCACGCACCACCCACAGCCTTTGCACCCCTTGGCGTGGGGGCTGCTGGCGCTGATGTGCTGGTTGGTGCCAGCAGCACCGGGGACCCTGCAAATGGCAGGGGGGCGGGGGGGGGGGGGGGGGGGGGAAGGATGACAGCCTTCAGCACCCCGCAGCCAGCACCCACGCCAGCCGGATCCAGACTCGGGGTGCAGGGCGCGCTGAGCCGGGCCGGTGGTGGCCGCGCTGCAAGCCACAGCCTGAACCTGGGCAAGACGATTCGCATCCCCGGCGGTGCCGGTGCCCACAGCCCCCGCGCCAGGCAGGACCCTGTGGGTGTCGTGGTGGGGGCCGGGCCCCCAAACGCTGCCCACGGTGGGGCCGGACCCCCAAATCCTACCCATGGCCAGTGTGGGTGGCCCCAGAGCAATGAATGAACCGGGGGCTGAGAGTTGAAGCTCGGTCTGAGCCGGCCCCGGAAAGCTGCCTGCGGGCCAAGGCTGTGCCGAAATTATTGCGGCCACGTGCCAATGGCCGGATCCTGCCAGGAGAGCCAGCGGCACGCGTGGGCGTGGGGCTGCCCTGCCTCCGGGCGTATCCCCCGCGCTGGCGGGCAAGCGGGGGGACACGGGGTGCCCCGGGGTGGTGCTGAGGCTCCCTGCTGGGGCTGGGATGGGGGGGAGGGAAATGGAAACCAGTTTCTTCCAATCTCTTATCACCCGGCAGCCATGTGAGGAAATGAGTTATAAAGTCCAGAGGCCGCTTCCTACAGGAGCACCCGCCGCCACTGCCGGGGATGCGGTGCCCAGCCCTGCGTGGTGGGGTACCCTGGTCCCTCTACTCGGGCTCCCTTGGCCAAATCCTGCTCTGCTGGCCCGGTGCGGGGATGCTGACTGGTCCCAGCCCTCCCCTCACCAGCGCAGGGCTGAGTGCTGGGGGTCCCGGCGTGGGGATGGAGGTGCCGGGAGCTCCAGAATCCTCCCAAGGTTTGGGGTGTCCCCGTGGCAGCGCTCCCCGAGCTGCTTGCAATGCCCACCCGCATCCCGGCCGCCCTCTCCGGTGGGAAGGGGGGGTGTGCCTCCCCGGGGGCCGGGGGGGGGGGGGTACCCCAGATCCGCACGATGTCAGGGCCGCGGGCAGCCTCGCTGGCTGGTGTGGGTCCCCCCCCCCGCCCCGTGCAGAGCGTCCTGTTCCCGGCAGCGCCCCGTGGGCCGCGGGCGCAAAGGCACAGATGCCGCCGCACCGGCTGCCAAGGCGCTGCCATCTGTGTGCGCGGGGCTGCCAGGCTGGGGGGGGGGGGATCACCACCTTCCCCCCACCCCCCGACACCGCACCTCAGCCCCGGGGGCACTGCAGGGCTGGGTGATACCCCCCCCCCCCCAAAACAGCATCCCCAGGGCTCTGGGTGGGGTTTGGGGAGGGGTCCAGGACCCTGGGGGGAGGAAGGAAGTGGGGGAGGCCTGGCTGCCTGCCTGCCTTCCTCTGCAGGGTCGCGGGGCCACTGTCACCCCCGTGGGGCCAGCGTGGCTGGCCAGTGCTGCCACCCCCCTCTAGGCCCCGTACCCCTAGGGCTTGGGGCTGGCCGCTACCATGGGGGAGCTGTTTGTGTAGGCCCTATAGAAATGAGGGGTGGTGGGGTCAGGCAGGTGCTGGCAGGACTCCCCCCCCCCACCCCGTGGTGCCTGGCAGAGGGGCCACCCCTCTGCATCATCACCCCGTGCCCGGCTGCGTGTCACGGGAGGGGGCTGTAACCCAGCGGTGGGTGGTGAGGAGGGGGGGGCGGGGGGGGCCATCCCCAAATCCTGCCCTCGGTGCTGCCAGAGGCAGCTGCAGCCCTTGTGGGGCCAGACCCCACCTCAGTCCCTGTTTTTTGGGGTGCGGGCGTGGGGAGCTGCCGCCCGGCCGGGAGCGGGGCCCCCGCAAGTGCCGGGGCCGGTGCCAGCGTGGGGCCGGCGCGGCCGCTCAAACAGCCCTTTGTTCCCAGCGGGGACACAAAGGGCTCCAGTCTGGCCAGGCCG